TCATGGTGAGTGTAGGCCCCGGTGGCCTCCCCCTCACGCAGTAGTCGGCAGAGAAGCGCTTTTCAGAATTGCTCTTGTTGCGAGAGACTTGGGGTCCGTGGCTCTGCACGCAGGCTGAGGCCCCAGCATCTTGCGACACCATCTTGGTCATGGGTGAGGGGGAGCAGAAGGGCCGGGCCGGCGAGAAACCCAGGCTGTGGCCACTCAGGAACCTCCAGGCTGTCCAGGTGGAAGGACAGCAGAGCTGACCTCGTCCTCCACTGGACTCTGGGGACACGGGCTGGGAAGCAGGGCTGTGAGAGAAACTCCGGCTCTGGAGTCAACAGGCCTGGGCTCCGTCCCCATCTTGGCCGCCTCCCTGCTGGGTGGCGTTGGGTGTGCTGTTCACCTTTCTCTGAACCAGCTTCCCGGACTAGAAATGGAGAAGGGTAGCGTACCTTCCTCTTAGGGTTGATGGGAGCGTCAGTTCAGTTCAACATTTTGCCACCTTCTCACGGATGGACTGACACAGACATGGTCCCTGCCTCAGGGCCTCCCATCCAATAGAGGGGACCACTCTGGTGCAGACAGTCAAGCCATTTGTTCAGTCATTCGTCCCCCCCCCAGGTCTCCTGGTACCTACCATGTCCTGGCCTGTTCAGGGTGCCAGAACAGCAGTGAATAGGATGGACAGGGTCCCCTTTATGACAAGGACTGGCATGAAGTGGACAGTGGTGGGAGGGTGAAGCACCAGGAGGCTGGGCTGGGGCGAGGGGAGGCAGGTCATGAGAGGAGTGGATGCTTGGGGCTGGACCGGACTCTGTAGAGCCTGTGCTGCCCTGGGGAGCATGTCAGGAAGACCAGAGCAGAGGCCTGGGGGTGGAAATTACTTGCCGGGAGCTTGGAGGGGACAGACAGTAAAGGAGGGGGATGGCACCAAAGGACCTAAGAGGACCTGGGGGTGTACAGTGCTGAGAGGCCAAGAGAAAGGCTTCAAGGAGCGGGGGCTGGGGTCACCATGTCCCAGAGGAAGAGGAGCTGAAAGGGAGCGGCCTTTGGTTCTGGCACCTGGGAGGTCACTGGGGCTGGGCTGGGAGAGTGGACTGACTCTGACCGAAAGTCACTGCTCCCTCTCCGCTCCACACATGGGCCCTGAGTGTCCCCGTGTGTGCACGCCCCCATCGCCACCTGCCGATAGCTCCCCCATTTCCTCCCGCACCAAGAAGAGACTCCTAAGGCGGCAGGGACCACAGAGGGCAGGGCCAAAGCTGAGTGTAGAGCGGAGGTCTGTGGGCCCTGAGGTCAGGCACTGGGGGAGGAAGCCCAGCTGTCACTGGATAGCAGGTCTCTGACCTGGGGGCAGTCACTTCGTCACAGTGAGCCTCAGTGTCCCCGCCACACAACTTCCACACCTTGGACAGTGCTTAGCTCAGGCTTCTGGATGGTGGACCGCAGAACCCCCTCCACGCCCCTGAACCTGGGCGGGGTGGGCCCCGACTGGGGCCTAGGCTTGTCGGCTGGGGCATGAGGGCTCCTGACCTGCCGCGTCCATGCATGGCCTCTCCACTCTATTTGCAGGAGGTGCTCAGGCCCTACGGTGCCTTCTGGCTGGCCGCTGCCTTCTGCATCTTCAGTGTCCTTTTCACTCTGGCCTGTGTCCCTGAAACCAAAGGAAAGACTTTGGAGCAAATCACAGCCCATTTTGAGGGGCGATGACAGCCCCTTCCCATGAGTGGCTGCCCCTCCTAGCTGGACCAGCTTTGGGCCTCGGAGGGGATGGTGCCTGCCTGTGACTCCAAACTGAGCCTCAGCTGGAGCCTGGACGCCCCGCCTGCCCCCAGGGAGTCAGGAGCCAGGACTGTAGCCCCTTGGAGCTTTGTCCTCTGGGGCCCCACCTTCCTGCCCAGCTCTCTACAGCCCAGTGAAGCACGGGGACAAGGTTCCCAGCCCCTGGGTCCAGTTTCCACTGCTGCCCTGTGACTCGTGTGGAGGGAACATCTCTGAGACGCTTTGTTGTGCTGTGGTCAGTCCTCCACGTGCCATCTCCATCGTGACACAAAAGTGACAGCGGAGAAGGGGGACTCTTGGTTCCTCGTTTTCTGGAGAAGATGCTTTTGGAGGCTGGGTGATGGCCATGGTTACTCCTCTCACGTGGCTGCATTATCAGGAAGGAACTTTGCCAAATAAATATTGGACTCGGAAAATCAGGTCATGACCTCTTTGTGTGGGCTGCAATCCAGAAGGGCATTTTCCTGTCCCTTCCATAAAACTAGGCTCCCACAGACTGTCTTGCCAAGAACATCTGTGGATCTGCTTTCTCACGGTCAGCTAGGCTTGCCTTTGGCACTTGGAGGTCATTTCTGACTCTTTCCTTGGGTTCAGTCCCCTGAATCATTAGTCATCAAATCTTGAGTTCCTCCTGCAAAAAAGAAGCCTCTCTTCATATTAACTTTAATGGAGCCAGAAGTCTTTTACAAATTACTTTTATTGTCTACTGTATAAGTAATACATGTTTATTGCAGGAAAACTGGAAAACACAGATTTATGTAATTATTTTTTATGGCAGTTAACCATCTGCTAGGCACTATCCTAAGTACTTTACAAATATTAACTTCTTTATTTAGATAAATAATAAAATATTCACACCTGCACCTTACCAGAGAATTTCGTTCTGTCTTAAAAGATCTCTCCCCCAACATACATGCTTCCCAGCATCACTACACAGAAGTGGGACGCCCTACTTCCCATTCTGTAACCTGTTTTTATTCACTTCTCAGGCTGTGCAGCCCAGCATGTGCCCACCTTGACATCTTGTATTAAGCTTTGTAATGAGACTGAATGAGACCGGAGACAAGGGGAATGGAAGTGTGGAGTGGTCCAGGGCAGAGCGGTGGGGGACAGAGCAGAACAAGTCGCTTAACTTCCCTAAGCTTCAGTTCATTCATCTGTAAAATGGGCATAATGATGTTATCTCCCTCGTGGGGTTGTTATGAGGATGAAAGGAGATGATCATGTAAAGCACTTAGATCTGAGGATGGCACTGAATAAGTGCTCAATCAGTTTAGCTGCTGGTGGTGGTAAGGCTGTGCAGGTGAGGGTGGGAGGCTGTGGTGGAGACGGGGAGCTGCATGCAAGGCTGGTTGTGAGGCTGCATGTGAGGCTCTAGGGGTGCTTCATAAGGGGATATTTGAAATCTTTACAAGTGTTTCTCTTTATACTCTATCTCCTACCCTACCGCCTCAGCAACCTGTGATTGCTACCAGCACCTACTTATAGGTACCAAGGACTGTGGACACACACACTTTTCAGAGGTCCCCGTACACTCCTTTAAGGCCTTCCCATCAGAGCACAAGGTGCTTCAGGGACTAAGAGCCAGCCCCAGCTGACACCCCTGTATCTACCACAGGAGCCCAGTCCAGCACCATCAGGCACAGGTCCATGAAGAAGTGGGGCAGGATGAAACATCTCCAGAAGACAGGTGCAGCAGAAGCTGTGCTTTACCCAGCCTAGGATAGAAATGTGCATTGCCAGCCGACATCCACCCCATTTCCCACTCCCACCCCCGGAACAACTTGCAGGAGAATCCTGGCTTCTGAGAACGAGGCAAGAAATTCCCTAACACCACCCAGTGGACACGGGCGGAATCAACTGTGGCGTGAACCACTCTGCTACCCCCCAGTGGCCATAGGTGGGTTTGCAAGACTAAGGCAAGAAAACCCTTGCCTACCTCCTAGTGGCTATTATGGGTTTAGCACCTGCTGGGCCTGTGGCACAGGCAGAACACACCAGCTGGAACAGCCCACTAGCCAAGGAATGCAGGCAGCCTCTGGAAGCTAGAAAAAGCAAGGAAAGAGATTCTCCCCCTGGAGCCTCCAGAAGGAAAGTAGCCCTGAAGACACCTTGACTTTAGCCCAGTGAGGTCCACTTCAGACTTCTGACCTCCAAAGTTGTAAGCCTAAAAATTACACAAGCCCCAAGGTAGAGAAGAGCTTATCTCAAAGAGATCTGTGGGTATGACTTGCTTAACGGAGTGAATCCCAATGAGATTCTTAGAAGACCCACAAATGTAGAATCATATTGGGGAAAAACACTACCAGCTATGATTGAAAGGGAGAGAGACAGTACAAAATGAAAAGAGGCTTAGGACCCCCAAACTCATTTCCACTTCCCAGGTAACACATTCTCATCTCCTTAACGTCAAAATGCCTCTGAAAGTAAATTGCTCATCAGAAGATTGCTTGATTAGTGAAGATCAACAGGCTTGTGGGGAAATTCCATCAACGCTCTGAGGAAGCCCACTGAAATATCCCCTGGGGCAGCACGGAAGCCCCCAAGGACAGAATATTCAGGAATCTCCTCTCCCAACACTTCTAACTGAACACTGTTAAAGTGTGCTTCTGCCCCTGAGATTACTGAAGACGTCTTCCTGCTGATAAGCTTTTATACTTTGACCGTTCCAGGCCAACCTGCGGCTGCCCCGTTCACACTGAGGGGCCCTCACTTCCTTTACCCCTCCCAAACTATCAGAAGGGCGCAAGAGGACCGCGAAGGTGGCTGGGGTTGGGCCCTGAGCTGACTGACGAGGGAGAGGACCTCGTGGAGCCGGGCCCCGGGCACGTCAAATCCCTGAGCAGAAACCAGGCGCCTAGCCCTAGTGCAGATCTGCGCCTACGCTAAAAGCACTGCTCCCGTGAGCCTTCGCGGCCAAGTCTCTTCCTGTCCAAGAGGCCCCAGTCATTGTATTCAGTGGACCTGAAAGGCATGTGCAACAAAGCGTGATGGGAAATAGATTCTGGAAGCAAGAACAGGCGGAAGCCTCGCTAGGAAATACGGTCCACGAGGGTGTGCGGGTCACAACCTGGCACCGAGAGACAAGAAAAGGGATTGGCCAGTAACGAGCCCGGAGATTTCTGGGAAATGGAGTCCGGTGGGGCAGGGAGGCATGTGCGCGTGACCGGAAGTGGCGCTATTCAGGCGCCGTCCCCTTTGGAGCGAGAGGCGGGTCTGCGGCCGCAGTTTCTGAGCTCACGCTGGTGGCGGGAGCCGGGAGCTTTCTCGCGTAGCTGGCAGCGGCTTTTTCACGTGGTGTTCTGCCTGAGACCGAGGCAGGTGCGCCACGGGCTCCCCAACCGAGGCCTGGCTGTGGCTGGGGAGACAGTGAAAGACCCGGCTGGACAGGCCGGACCGGGCTCAGCACCGCAGGCTCAGACCCGGCCTTTAAGGGGACAGGCCTGAGAGAAGAGCCCAGAGCGGGGCTGGCGCTCAGAAAACTGCTGGGAGGCGGTGGCGCGAGGTGGGACCCAAATGCTGGAGGAAGGAGGTGAGACGGAGTGGTGGAGCGGTTTGTGGCTTCTAGCTTGTCCGCTAACAGTGCTGTGTGACCCAGATCAGAATTCGGCGGTCATCCTTTCCACAAGTGGTTGGGGGACGATCCTTTTTGTGGAATAAAGAATTACGGGGTCAGAAAAGTTTGAGGAGCTCAGCCCGGGATCATTTCTGAGTGTCCTGTCCCTTACTCCGATCTGTTGATGGACCCATGGCATTAGAAAGTAGAGAGAAATGGGCCCTGGGAAAGAAAATGGGACTTACTCAGGGCCTCCTCTATTGCTTCTGATCTTCCAGCCCTCTTGAAGCATCAGGGATGTTCGGAATGGGAGCCCGTTGGCTTCACCTCATATTGAGGATGGGTTCAACCCAGTTGGATTGTGAAATCGTGGAGGATACTGGAGATTTAGAATCAGAAGGCTAGGATTCCTGTTTAAGCTCTGGGGTACCAGCCAGCTTTCTTAGCCTGTGTTTCTTCATGGAGGAAAAGGTAAAATAACGTTAACTACCTCGTTCACCTCTAAGAACTGTAAGCATCAACTAAAATTACGCTTTTGAAAGCACTTTTTTAAACTGAGATATCATTTACATGCATTCACTTTTAAAGTGTACAATTAAGTAGCTTTTAGTATATTCACAAAGTTATGCAACCATCACCTTTTTTTTTTTTTTTTTTTTTTTTTTTGGCTGCGGCATGCAGGATCTTAGTTCCCCAACCAGGGATCCAACCCATGCCCCCTGCACGGGTCTTAACCACTAGACCACCGGGGAAGTCCATCACCATTATTTAATTCCAGAACATTTTCATCACCCCAGAAAGAAACTGGTATTACTCCACATTTTCCCTTCCTCCTAGTTCCTGGCAACCATTAATCTATTCAATACTTTCTGTCCTCATTAATTTGTCTATTCTGGACATTTCATGAAAATAGAATCATACAGTATATGTGTCTGGCTTCTTTCACTTAGCATAACGTTTCAAGGTTCATCCATGTTGTAACATGAAGGAATCTACGTTTTATGGCTGAATAATATTCCATTACATGGATTATACCATGTTACATTTATCTCTTCCTCAGTTGTTGGACATTTGGGTGGTTTCCAGTTTGGGCTATTATGAATAATCCCATAAACATGCATGCACAAGTTTTTGTGTGGATGTGTTTTCATTTTTCTGGGGTTTATATATACTTAGGGGAGGAATTATTGTATAACTCTGGTAACTTTGGTAACTCTGTTTAACTTTCTCAGGAACTGCCAGACTTGTGTTCCACAGTGGCTGCACCATTTTACATTCCCAGTAGTAATGTATGAGGATTTCAGTTTCTCTACATACTCATCAACACTTGTTTTTTTTCCATCTTTTTAATTTTAGCCATCTTGGTGTGAAGTGGTATCTCATAATGGTTTGATATACATTTCTCCAATGACTGATGATGTTGAGCATCTTTTCATATACTTAATAGCTGTTTGTATCTTACTTAGAGAAATACCTATTCAAATCCATTGCCCATTTTTAAGTTGGGTTATTTGTCTTTCTTTGTTGAGTTTTTAATATAAAGAATTCTTTTTATATTTTGGATACTAGACCCTTAGAAGATATATGATTTGCAGATCTTTTCACTTTCTTGACAGTGTCCTTTAAAGCACAGAGTTTTTAATTTTTATGAAATCCAGTTTAGCTTTTCTTTTGTTGCATGTGCTTTTGGTATCATGTCTAAGAAACCCATTGCCTAATCAGAGGTCATAGATTTATATCTGTATTTTTTTCTAGAAGTTTTAGCTTTTACATTTAGGTCTTTGATCCATTTTGGGTTTTTATATATGGTGTGAGGTAGGAGTCCAGCTTCATTCTTTTGCATGTAGATATCCAGTTGTCCCATCTTTATTTTTTTGAAAAGAAATTTAATTTCTTGGCACTCTTGTTGAAAATCAGTTGTCCATAAATGTATGGATTTATTTCTGGACTCTCAGTTCTTCTCCATTGATCTATATCTCTATCCTTATATCAGTTCCACACTATTTTAATTACTGTTGCTTTGTAGAAAGTTTAGATCTTCTGTAATTTCCTTGAACAATGTTTGGTAATTTTCAATGTAATGTCTTTCACTTTTTTTTTCTTTTTTTTTTGAGATTTGATGATTTTTTATTAAAGAAAAGTATCTAAATGGAAGCAAAAGTAACAGTATCCATAAAAGTATTTGTTCTGAAATATTTACACATTAAAAAAACAAAGAATTAGGATTGAGAATAACATCCATTTATGAGAAATTGCTCTGAGCTTAACAGATACCTCCGTGTCTGTAGGGAATGATTTTCTCAATTAAAGACTTTATGGTCTACAGAGAAAGGTCAACTAGAGGTGTCAACAATTTTAAATCTATTACATATAAAATGCAGTGTTGAGGATGATGTGTGAAATTTAATTTTAAAAATTAAAAAATAACATTTTGAAAAAACAACTTTAAGAAGAATACTAGTGACAAGAGATTAGAGGTAGATATGGCTAAGACAGTAAAGTAAATTAATCCATACCAAAATAAGTATCCTACCTATGTTATTTATACTTTTTTGCTTATAACATCAGTAATCAAACTCTTGCACTTCTTTTGTTCAGTTTATTCCTAGGTGTTTTGTTCTTTTAATGCTCTTGTAAATGGAATTTAAAATTTCATTTTTGGATTGTTCATTACTAGTGTATAGAGATACAGTTGGAGAACTGTTTATTCAATCCTTTGCCCATTTTTAATTTAGCTGTTTTTTTATTGTATATTCATGTTGTATCCTGCAACCTTGCTGAACTTGTTTAGCTGTGATAGTTTTCTGTGGATTCCTTAGGATTTTCTGTATACAAAATCATGCCATTCACAAATACAGGTAGTTTAAATTCTTCCTTTCCAATCTGTATGCCTTTGGTTTGCTTGTTTGCTTGTTTTTGCCTAATTGCTCTGGCTAGAACTTCCAGTATAATACTGGTTAGAAGTGGCAAAAGCAGACATCCTTGTCTTGATCTTAGGGGAAAAGCATCAGTCTTTAGCTCTGGGTTTTTTGTAAATGCCTCTTTATCAAGTTGAGGAAGTTCCCTTCTGTTCCTAGTTTATTGGATGTGTTTTATCATGAAAGGTATCAGATTCTGTAAAATGGCCTTCTTGGTGTTCACTGAGATGATCATATGGTTTTTTTTTCCCCTTTGTATTAATATAGTGTGTTATACAGATTGATTTTCATTTGTTGAACCAACCTTGCATTCCTGGGATGAATCCCACTTGGTCATTACCTCTTTTTTTGTTTAAGCAAATGTCTTAAATTTGCAGAGCCACTTTCTCCAAGGAACTTAATTGGTAATAGTTGTAAGCTGTATATTTACATGCTAAGCATTGTGTCAACTGCTTTGTCTGCATTTAAATCTTCACAGCAACTTTACATGGGATATTATCCTCATTTTACAGATGAGAAAAATGAGACTTAGAGAGGTTACATGATTTGTACACTGCTGGTAAGTGGTAGATCTGGAATACTTGAGAGTCTGTTACACTCTAATGCCTCCCTATGTTTGAGTCAATTGATGGAACTTCTGAGGTAGGAAGGGAAATTGGAAAACTTCTGTCCCATTGCAGTTCTGCAAATTCAGCCTCAATGAGCCCTGGGACCTATAATGTCATTTGAACACTCTCTTCAGAGTGAAAATTTGAGACTTTCTAGCTTGGTGAGATGTAAATTTTATGCCTCATTGCTTTCTTTCTCATCCTCCAGAGCCAGCTTCTCCAGATCCTGCCCTTCCCCAAGAGGAAGGCACAGAAGAGGAAGGAATGGCAGGTGATCTCCTCACAGCTGGGCCCCAAGTAAGTTGGAAATTTACTCTGAAAGGCAGCCGCTTTTTTTTTTTAAATATTTAGGGTGTTTTTGGTTTTTAATTACAAAAGGAATTCATGTTCTTTGTAGAAAACCTGAAAAGTGTAGACAACATACCCCCCCAAAATTACACTTAATCCTACAAAGAAATAACACTTAACATTTTGATTTGTGTCCTTTTAGTCATATTCTTTTTTTTCTGTTTTCCCCAAATGGATTTGTCCTGATTTGTAACCTTCTTTTTATTTACACTTAGTAGAATTTGATTAATATTTCCCCAATTTCATTAAGAGTATTCTACAGAATTATTTCTAATAAATTCCATTTCATAGTCCTTTTATGAGAGTAAGAACTGTCTTCTCCCTTTCTTTTTCTTGACTAGACTAGGAATTGGTCTGTTTTCATTTTTAGAACACCTGCTCTTGGATTTCCTCATCAGTTCTACTCTTTATTAACAAAATTTTCTGTGTTAGTTTTTTTGCTTCTGCTTTCCTTAGATTTATTTTAAAATTCACTTTTCAAAATCTCTTGAGTTGAATCCCCTAATTCATTTTCTTCCTGTTTTGTTCATATATATTGAATATTTTTGGTGGTGGGTCTTTATTTTTTTAGATATGCCAAAATTGTGACTTTGGTTTCTTGTCTGCACATTTAGCTGGGCTGTGCTCCATGCAGGCAAAGTTTGTGTCTCTTCTCCACACAAAACATCCAGGTATAGTGTGATTGCAGCTGTAGGATTTATGGCTCAACCTTATTAAATTACTCATTTCTTCCATACCTTTATTTTTTGGTTTATTTTGTATTAACTCTGTTAACAACTAAGTTGTTTAACATCTCATGTAGCTATATTTTAAATTTCTCCTTGTACTTCCTACAGTTTTTTCTTTATGAATTATATATTTGTTATTTGGTTCATGACCCTTATATCTTCATAATGGATTTTACTCTCTTGATTGTTATAAAATGACCCAAATGTTTTAAATATTCCATCGTTTTTTAAAATGACCCTCTTTGTCCCGTTTAGTGCATTTCTCAGTGTGAAGGATGTATTGGAAGGACAGGTAAAATTAGAAATCAGGAAACTAGTTATGAATTGGGAAACGATGGAGGCTTAAAGCAAGGCAGTGGCAGGGGCATGGAGAGAAACGCATGAATTCTCATGATATTGAGGAGGAAGAACGAATATGCAGTTGACATGTGGGGAGCTGCAAGAAAGGGGAAGATAGCACCCAGTTGTCTGACATGGCCAACTAGGTGACTGGAGGTACCATTTCCTAAGCTGAAAATAGGCAAAGACCCCCTTGCCTCCGTGCCTTTGCCCCTGATGCCTCCGTTGCCTTGAACATCCTTCTCTTTCTCCATCTGAGGAACCTGCTCCTTGAAGGCCAGGTTGCCCTCCATCTATGATTCCTCCTCTGTTATCCTAGCAACTAATCTGTCCATCTCTTTGACACATTATTACAGGTGGTTGCATACGTGCTGGCTCTCCTGCTGTACTGTGTGATGTCTGAGTAAGCAGGAGTATTTATTAAATGTTCTGAAAACATTAATCATTCACATTTCTTTGCTAATTTGCAGCTGATTCCTTGTTGCATAAACTCACACATTCTAATTTTGTTTTTTCTATATTGGCGCTTTTAATTCCCAAGCACCTGTTAGTTCTGCCCAATTACTGCTCATATATATACATAGTTTCTTCTATTTATGTATAAAGTCTACTAGAGTTATAAAACATATGAAGACAAGAGAGACTGTATTTTATTTATTTTTGTGCATCAATATCCAATATAGTGTTAGGCACATAAGAAGTGATCAATAAATGCTTTTCTGGAACTACCCTGAGTCTTTTCAAAGACCCTTTGTAGGCCTGCTAACCAACACACCCAAAGCTGCCAACCTCCCCACCCCCTCGTATTCTAAGGCCACTGGGCAAGAAGGAATATGCTTGTTGTTTCAGGGATCCACACCTTTCAACAGTGTGACTGTAGCTTTTACCCAGAAGGGATGGAGGCAGTTGGCCCCTACTCCGAGGGACAGGTTCAAGAAAGGGATGCCAGAAAAGTCCAGAAACCTGGTCCTACTGGGTAAGGAAACCATTTAAAATGCAGAATTTGTTCAGTTCTGAAAATGTTTTACTTCCAGTGTCGAGTGATCCTGAGTGGCTCTGCTGCACCAGAGGGATAGTGTTTGTTCCTCCTCATTCCCTAGTGAAAGATCTCTGCATTCTGGTTTGGGAAATAGGCAGTTTCATTTTGTTCCCCCCGAGGCTGCACCTCCCCATTTTCTTATTTCCCAGGAAGGGTGGGGTAGCCTTCAGGCCAGTTACTCCATAGTCACTAAGTTCCCAGCTTCGTAAGTATCTGGCTTTATGGGCTTGCTTAGCTCCCTGGCTTGACCCCTCCTTGAGGCTGTTACTTTAGCTCTTTTCAGAAATGCTCTACTAAGACCTTGGCACCGTATCTATCTTATTTACTGCTGTGTCCCCTAGTGCCTGGTACCAAGTCAGTGCTCAATAAATATTTGTTGAATGAATGAAATGAATGACCTGTTTCCACTCCCCTCAGTTCTGAGAGGCTATTTATACTTAGTACAGATCTCTAAACCCCACTTTTTTCCCCCTTAAATAGGACTTCCAGTCTCCCAGCCTGGTATGAACTCCCAGTTGGAACAAAGGGAAGGTTCATGGATGCTAGAGAGAGAAGGCCTAAGGAGTACCTGTCCAGGTAAGTGAGCAAGCACTAAGCCAGTCAGAGTCTCGGGAGCAAAAGCCCCTTTGAAACATGCGTTAGTGCATTTGAGTATTTTAATGACTGGTGAGGTAGCTATTATTATCCCTGTTTTATAGATGAGGAAAATAAAGCTGAGAAAGGCTAACTCACTGGTTCAGAGCCTCACAGCTAGAAAGCGGCGAGGCTGGGGTTTGAAGCAACAACAGTCAGACTCCAAAGCCCTCTATTCCACGCTGTCTACTCAGCCTCCCAGGCTGGGAGGCATTTGGGAGCACTGGTGGTATTGCTGGCCTCTGGGAAATGAGAGTCATCTTTGCTGGCCTAGCACATTCCCTGCTTCGGGTTCACCTCACTGAGGATCTCAAGTACCCACCTTTAGCCGTGCTTCAGCTGTGACACCTACTGCTGCTCCCCTCTCTGACTAACCCTTTATTGGATTCTGCACCCACACCCTTTCTCTCCCTCTTCGTGGCCATGCTGGAATTTTCTGAAGGGCTGATACTAAGAAACTTAGGGAAAATGAGCAAGAGAAACCATAGTTTCTGCCTTTATCTCTTGCTACTCATCTAAGGCTGCTCACTCCACCCCCACCTTCATATTTCAGCCCTTGCAAATGTCTGACCTCTGGCAGGGCCTGTGGTTCCAGCCACTTCTGATATTTTGAAACTTAAAGCATCAGAGGTACAATGAACTTAACAACTTTAAAGCGACAAAATTTTAAATTTTTCTAAAAATGCGGTCTAATGCTTTATATCTTTTATGGTTGCTGTAGGACAATGAAAACAAAGCCTCTGGCTTACTTCGTGCACGGTTCATCTGAACCCTCTTCACATCTTATCCTCTTTCTAAGCAGCCTATCACATGTCACCTCAGCCCTTGTAACTCTGGGCACCACTCGCACTTGCTCAAATACTTCCCTTTACCAGGAGCCTCACTGCCTGCTGCTTCCTTCTCCCAAACCCCCTGCTTCCCAGCACAGCATACTTGTTATGCAGGACCTTTAACCTGAGTCCAGAGAACCCTATGTGGAACTTTGGGAATTGAATAGAGTGTTCTGTGGCAATAACTGCATCTTTCTGGGAAAAGATTTCATCACAGTCTCAGAGGGGTTCAGGATCCTATAAAGGTTACTGAAAAAGATTCAAATCACCATGTCACTAGAAACAGAAGTTGGGAAAAGGTGTTACCACAAAGGATCTGTGCCCTGAGGTATTAGCGTAGAGTATTAGTGTGGAAGCAGCTTTGGATGTGGACCCATGAAAGATGCATCCAGGTCCTGGCTTGCTACATATTAACTACATGGATTCAGAGTAAACCACTATATTGTGGTCGTCTGTTTCTATATCTGAAAAAATGTAGATAACAAAACCTGGCTCACTCTTTGACAAACTTATTTGAAAAAAAGTTGTCGACAATGTAGGGCGGTATTAATTCTGTAATAGTGAAGTAGCTGGAGGAAAGGTTTAAATCTGGCTATTAGAGTAACTAAAACACTGCTCCTGTGATGTCGCACCTCTGCTCTGAGACCCACCGAGCATCCTGGGCATCGCTGTGCCTCCTGGGCTGGTTTCAGAGCTATTATTCCATCTCACCCCTCCCACCGTGGCAGACCCAGGTCTTCGACCTGCCTTTGCCTCACTGCGTGGTACATGCCTGGCGTTGTTTTAGCTACTGGAGGTGCAACAGAGAACAAGATGTAGGCCCTGCTTACATCCTAGTGAGGAACGTAGATAAAGCAAGTAAACAAAATAACCGATACAATATTGGATGGTGATGAGTACTGTAAGAAAGGGGAATATGGGTGGGGTGGGGGCTCTCCTAGATCGGAAGGACAGGGAAGACCACTTTGAGGAGGTGACACTGGAGCTGAGATCTGAAGGAAAAGAATGAGCCAGCCGTGTAAGTATCCGGAGGAGGAACATTCTGGGCCACACCACGTGTTGAGGCTTTGAGTTGGGAATAAGTTAGACTTGTGTTAGGATGAGAAGAGCCTAGGACTCAGTAAACAAGAGGGAAGGTGCTGGGCAGGGGTCAGATCATGTAAGGCTTAGAGGCCATGGGAGGCGTTCAGGTTTTATTCAAATAGGAAGATAGGAAGCCATTGAGGGTTTTGAGCAGGGAAGGGATAATATTTGTGTTTGAAAAGATAACATGTGTGGAGACTAGACTTTCAGTGTTCAAGACTAGAAGCAGGGAGATCAGTTAGGACATTCCAGTGAGAGGATGGTGGCGGCTGAGGAGGAGGATTCAGGACATACTTGGGTGTTAAAGCCAACATGACTTGCTAGTGGACTGGATGTGAGGGAAAGAGACATTAAGGATGACCCTGGCCTGAGCAGTTGGGTAAATGGGAAGACTGACAAAGACACTGGCTTGAAAGGGAAAATCAGCACTTCTGTTTTGGGTATATTCAGTTTCGAACATAATTAGACCGTCTTATACAGGAGCCAGCACCCATGCCCCCTGTAGTGGAAGCGTAGAGTCCTAACCGCTGGACCACCAGGGAATTCCCCGCATAGTCTTCTTAATTGCTTTTTTCTCCCACTGCTTCTTTTGTTGTCGCTTTTCTTCTCCTTTCCATCTTTTACTCAGATAGATGGTCAGTTTTTGAGAGCTGTAAGACCAAATACCAAGTAACATAGAGATACCCTCAACCTGAAACAGGGACTTCGGTGCTCTTAGTAGACTGGGCTTTGAATGCATGTGCAACTTAGAGGGAAACCAGCTTAATGGGAAACCATTTAATATGATTTACAAGGAAAAGGTCCAAGATAATAACAAGCACTCATATAACACTTGCTATTCCTCAGGTATCATTCTGGGTCCTTTGTGTTTTAGCTCATTTAGTCCTCTTAATAATTCTGGAAGAGAGCTACATTCACAAATAATAAATCCAAGGCATAGTAATTTGCCCAGAGTCACACAGCTAGTAAGAGGTTGAACCCAGATTTGAACCCAGGCAGTCTGGGTCAAGATTCTGTATAGAAATTCAAATAAAGCATACCTAAAACTAACCTGCTGTTTTCCTAAATAAGGCAGAAACAGGAAGAATCTTTTCAGGAAAATTGACCCTTGTGAAAAGAAGCTCCATAGCCTTCCCTAAAACTTCACTCCCTTAGCTATAAGCCTCTATGAAGGAGACAGAGAGAGATGTCTGGGACCATTGGGTTCACTTAGTTTTAATACTTTGCAAATATTATACATTAATTCACACTTTAAGGTTTTCTCTTAAAATGAATGAGGTCCCAAAGGGGATTAAGAATCAGTAACTCTTTTTAAAAATATCACCCACCCCCATCCATATTATAAAAGCAATGTTATTCTTTTTAAAATAACTTTTTTTCTAATAAAAATAAGTTAATTTGAAGTTTAGAAAAGAATAAAAAAGAAAATCAAGATCTCCTGTCATCCCACCACACAGAGGTATTACCTTCAATCTTCGTATTACAAAAAGCAGCATTTTCTAAAATTAACAGTATGTAATTTTACATATTTCTTCTTTCACCTAACAGCATGTTGTTTATTTTTATCACTGCTTAGTCCTTGAAAGCAAGGTTTTTATAACTTTTATTATAAAAATAATAGTCACTGGAGAACATTAGAAAATACAGATAAGCATTGAAGAAAATAAAAACTACCCCTGCCTAATCCCACAAGCCAAAGACAACACAGCTTATCTTCACATTGTATAACTTGCCAGTGTTTTTTCAATAAATACCTTTCTACAAAAGGAATTATAATGTACAGATTTCAAACATGACTTATAACTGCTGAACAGTGTCCCTTGATTGGCTATACTTTAGTCATTCCTCGTTATTAAACATTTAGGTATTTGCTTTTCATTTGACAAATGATGCAGTGTTGACAACTGATGTTAATGCAGGTGAAGTGGAATTCTGTGTCAGCATTTTAAGGACTCTTGACACATGCAGCCAGATTACTCTCCAGAAAGCCTGTACATTTATGCAGCCGCACCAGTGTGTGAGATATCCCAAAAGCTGCACTCTTAACAACACTCTAGAATTAACCTTTTTTTTTGAAATCTTGCTGATATGATAGGTGAAAACATTCATCCTGCTGGCATCAGTCATCAGCTTTTTTAAGTGAATTGTTCAAACCTGGTAATAGCAGGTTGCCCAAAACCACACCAAGAATTGTGACTAAGAAGACAGCTTAAGACAACCCAGTACTTGGCAAAAGCACAGGAGAGGAGTGTCAGAAAGAAAGGAGAGGAGTGCATCTGAGGCAGGTTCAGGATAAACTTCTGCTGTTTAGGAAAGGGAGCAAAGAGTGCTCATGTCTCTGAAAAGCTTTCTGATCATTGTGGTTATAACAGAAACATCCTGGGTGGAAGGGGGTGGAAGCATCGAACCTGTCCCACATAAGAGCTCAGCCAGACTCCTTCAGCCTTTTGTCTTTCGGTATCTTTTCTTTCACCAAAAGAATCTTTAAAATTGCTTTTGTAAATATTCTTCAGATTGGAAGATGGTATCTGAATCACCACCTGAACAAGACATTTCTGAAGAATCATTCCAAGACCCAAGTGTAGAGATGCCCTCTGGGGAGTCAGATCATAGGAACAGTGAACTGGGGAAGAGCTTCAATCTGAGACCAGTTCTTTCTCCACAGCAGAGAGTTCCTACAGAAGTGAGACCCCATAAATGTGAAACACACACAGAGAGCTTCAGGAAGAATTCAGATATAATTAAACCTCACAGAGCAAAGCCGTACATATGTAATGAATGTGGCAAAGCCTTCAGTTACTGTTCTTCCCTTTCTCAGCACCAGAAGAGCCACACTGGGGAGAAGCCATATGAGTGCAATGAATGCAGGAAGGCCTTCAGCCAGAGCTCATCTCTTACTCAGCACCAGAGGATTCACACCGGAGAGAAACCTTATAAATGCAGTGAATGTGGAAGAGCCTTCAGCCAGAATGCAAACCTTACAAAACACCAGCGAACTCATACCGGAGAAAAGCCTTACAAATGTAGTGAGTGTGAGAAAGCCTTCAGTGACTGTTCAGCCCTTGTTCAGCATCAGAGAATTCACACTGGAGAGAAGCCTTATGAATGCAGTGACTGTGGGAAGGCCTTCCGCCACAGTGCAAATCTTACAAACCACCAGCGGACTCATACAGGGGAGAAGCCCTACAAGTGCAGCGAATGTGGGAAAGCCTTCAGCTACTGTGCGGCATTTATTCAGCACCAGAGAATCCATACAGGGGAGAAACCCTACAAATGTAATGCATGTGGGAAGGCCTTCAGCCAGAGTGCAAACCTCACAAACCACCAGAGGACTCACACTGGAGAGAAACCCTACAAGTGCAGTGAGTGCGGGAAGGCCTTCAGCCAAAGCACAAACCTTATAATCCACCAAAAGACCCACACTGGGGAGAAGCCTTATAAATGTAATGAATGTGGGAAATTCTTCAGTGAGAGCTCAGCCCTTATACGACATCATATAATTCACACAGGAGAAAAACCCTATGAGTGCAATGAGTGTGGAAAGGCATTTAACCAGAGCTCATCCCTTAGTCAGCATCAGAAAATTCACACTGGTGTGAAACCTTATGAATGTAGTGAGTGTGGGAAGGCCTTCAGGTGTAGTTCAGCTTTCATTAGACATCAGAGACTCCATGCTGGAGAGTAACTGGGAGCATAACCAAAGTGGATGGGGACCCGACAGGTAATTTGAAAGCATCTGGGGACATCTGACTTTAAGTCTAGCTCAGAGCCACATGCAAAAGCACCTTTAATAAATAGTCACTATTTTACATGTTGCTTCTGGAAGGTCTCAGGTGCTCTCTTCTTTCTCAACATCTTCTTAGACAACCCAACCCCAATTACACTGTTTTAAAGATTTACCTTTAATTCAGTGGTAAAAGCACTCCAGAAACGATTTATAAAGAATGAGTGAAAGACTTCGTTCCTACTTATAAGGCCAGGTATTTTAGCAGTGGTGTGGTCGTAGTAGTCTCTGCTTGAATGAGGGCTGTTGCAACAGGAGAATCAAGAACATTAGCCGGGAACGAGTATTCCCCGTAGTGGGGCCACTGAGGTTTAAGATTTGGGGGAGTGAATTCAAGTGAGGAAGGGGATTCTAGAGCCAGCTGTTACTAGAACGGGGCTGGGGGAGGGGTGCTGAATCTAGACACAGCTGCACACAACCTGCACTTTCTGAGCTGCTCAAGTGCTCTATTCTAGTTACTGCTGTCAAGAAAAGACCGAGGCAGGACAGTGAGGTTGAGGGTGCAGGAAGAAGCTAATGAAATCCCTCAGCAAGGCACATACCTTTAAACGGAGTTCCTAAGGGAGGGAAGGCTAACAAACCTGGGGCAACGTGAGGGCAGCCGTGCTTTCCCTGGCTCAGAGGCAGGCGAGTCATTTTTACTTTCCCCTTTCTGACAGCTGAGTATCTTTTAAATTAAGCTCTTTAGCCTGTTGGCCTGCTTTCTCGCTTGCTAGATCTCATCTCAGCACTTATAAACTGCTGTGAGCTTACTTGGTTTTTGGTTAGGTAAGCCTGATTTGAGACCCCCCATTACTGGTCTACTGTAAGGTAAGCTGGTTATACCCTCAGCCATCACCCAAGGCCTCTAGCTTTGATTCCTTGATGACTTGCCACGTGCCCTGGAATGTTCCTCACTCCAGCAATCTCAGGCAGTCCTTTCCACTAAAGCAGTTTTCCACCCCTGCTTGCACCTGTGATTAAAAACCACCTAAACCACCATGACCAAATGGGACAGCCAAGTGGCTAATGGCAGGGAAACGAAGTTCTTGGTGCCGTCATTCCCAACTCCCTTTAGGCTAGTGCCCAGAAGCCCCTTCCAGGTGGTACTTCAGGCTGCTCGGGTAGCTTTGTCTCAGTGTCCAGGTGTTTGAGGTTCATTTCATTGCATATCAAATAAGGTGAAAGTGAGTGATGAGCTCTAGAAACTCAAAAGGAACAGGACTAAGAAAAAGACAAGGGAGAGGCTTAGGAAAGGTGAAAGCATTCATTAGAAAATAGGCTGTGACTGGTTTAAAGCAAACCAGGGTAGGTCTAGGAGCTGCTAATTAACTACAGAAGAGGACTCATAAAGGTCAGGTTCTTTGGTTGTCCCATCAGTGGTTCTGAACCACAGCTGTACACTGGAATGGAGAGCAAAGCCTTGAATCATGGGCCCTGGGCCCAGAACCCACCAAATGATTAAACTGGTTTGGGATGAAGAGCTGCTTCCCTGGGTGTTTATTATGTTTAATTCCCCAAGTTTTCTTTCTGACCAAGAACTTTTTCTTGAGGAGCTCCATGAATGTGTCTCCAAAAAGCAGACTTCCTTTCTAGGTATCTTCTGAGCTAGTCCCATACAGGACAGAAATGTGTTGTCCACAGATTGCTGCTTCATCCCCAGATTCTGTCACCCTGGCTTCAATGACCACCATTTGACCACAAAGCCTAGGCTCCCCCAAGGAAGAGGCCACATCAGAAAGTCCACTGCTTGTCAAATAACCCTTTATTATTTTTCTTTGCAGTTCTTAACTCTGTGGAAAAGAAAAAAAAAACCCTCTCAGTAATAGGACAAAAAACCTTATCTCCCAACCCCACTATTGAGCACTTATAGAATTTTCCACCTTTTCCCCAAGGATACATTAGCTTCCCCTCCAGTTTTCACCCTAATTTTAAGCAAATCAATGCATAAGTCACTTACAGCTGGACATTCCACTGTACCACTGTTGATGTCATCTATGATGTCGTGAGGGTGGCGGCCATCAACATTGCAGCCCACAGACTGGGCGGTCCCCAGGATCTCTTTAATGGTTCCTATAATTAAGAAAAGGTAGAATCAGAGGGCCTGTCGTCCCTCACAATCCTCAGATACCAGTGGGGAAATACAGGCAAGGAGAGGAAAAACTTTTATGGAATACAGGAATAATCATCACTGCTCCCCTAATCCAAAATTCATAGCTCCATATATTTAAAAGCTCTGAATGCAAAAATGTCCACAGGTCCTATGATACCCAGATTCTTTCAAACCCAGAAAGACACCACACCCCAATTTCAGGTCTTACAGAATAAAGTCCCCTCTAAGTGGGAAAATGCCACTAAGTGAATACATTTTGCGTGACAATTAAGGTGGCCCCATACTGTTTTGTTCTTACCAGAGAGTTCTCTAGCTAAAGATCGATGCCGCATCTGTCGGGCAATGCTGACAATCTCATCAAAAGTGATGTTTCCACTGTGCTTAACTGCAGAAAATAAACAGCAAAAGCTTTTTACCACCTGAGGCCAGAGCAGAGCAGACCAGTCAGTCCTTCCTCATCCATTTCTAACCTGTTCCCATGCTTTCGGCACAGAGTCATCCACATGAAGAACAACCCTGTTTCCTAAGCTGGGGTTTAGTATCAGCTCACCACTGGATTGCACCAGCCAACAGAAAACTGGTCAGGTGCAGTGGCGGGTGGCTAGGGACAAAGTCAAGTCTTTGCTAACCTTAAGTGGAAGGGACTGTTTTGAAGAGGAGAAAAAACATGCTGAAGTGACTGAGGTTGATTAAAGCTGTCCATAGGGTCTGTCATCCAGCTAAGAAGCTGCTCTTTCTTGATTACTGGTTATCCTAAGTTTCTTCACCCTGCCTGAACATGTCCCTCCTGCAAGCATTGAGTGGGATCTGTTCCACACCAGGGATTGGGGAGAGTCACATGGCACTTCTTGGCAGTGCCTAGCTCTGTAACAGCTTAACAAATACCTGTGCCATCCCTAGGTTTCATTAAAGGGAGCACGTGCAGCTGTGTATCAAACACTGGGCACACAATACCACTCACATACTACCAGGGAAAAAGCCACTCACTGTTTTTCTGCTTCTTTCTGTCTCTTGGCGGTTCCTTGAGGGCTTTGATGATCAGGGCAGAGGCAGAAGGTACCACCTCAATCTGCAGAAGAGATTCTCAATGGGAATAATATACCCTACCCCACCCTCCAATGAGAACAACTAATACTACCATGCACCTTGGCTCTCAGAATCCATGGGGCCAGATGCCACATTTACTGTACATTCAGGTTAATTTTCCAACCTGAAACACGTCCTACCCCAGCAAACATAAGTGATTTACCCAGTGTCTCAAAAGTGAGAAGAGTTAATATCTGACCCATGCTCTCAAAAGCCTTCCCCACAGATAAAATTGCTCTTACCTCACCACTGGTGGCAGGTGACCATGTCAGCAAAAAACCTTCCTCCCAGCAATCCCTACCTCTGCCCTCCCTCAAACCAAGTACCTGGGCCTGTCGGTTCTGAATGGTCAGTTTCACTGTAATCCTCAGACCCTTCCAATCACCAGTTGCCTTGGCGATGTCATCACCAACTTTTTTTGGAGACTGCAGAAATAAAAGGTATATGATCACACCAGGCCCCACATGGAAGCAGTCTGGAAATCTGCCTGGTCCTCCTCACTTGGCAGCACAAGCAAGCTGTTTGAAACACGTTTAACTTTGCCTGCCCAATCGAGGCACGGCTATCACCATACTAAACTGGAAAACTGAGGCTGCAGGTTTAGTTGGTCCAGGGCTGTAAACTGCAGGTTCAAGGCCACAATGGGACCAGGGCCCTTATCTACCTACCCTCTCCTAAGGACCTATGTGGTAATTTTCAACTCTCTTACATCTGAATCACCGGGGGTCTCTTTAAAGACACCAGGTCCTTGTGTCTGACCAACCCTAGTCAGTCTGTGGGGATGAGGTCTGGGCATTTGCCCCTTTACAATTCCCTAAACAGGAGAGATGTCCAGTGAGTGCCAGCTGAACTAAGGGACAAGGAAGAGTAATGAGGACACTGCTTAAGCAAAACCATGGTGGGAGAGCTTTTCAGACAGGAGACCACTGCTCAAGGAATAAAGGCCTGATTATATTCATGAAAAAGGAAGTTCAGTAAAGAGTATAAAATGGAGGAAAAAGCAGGTAAATAAGTCTGATCCTAGGTAAAGCTAATCATATTAACCAGTAGGTTCAGAGCAGAGCTGTTTATACAAGCTACTGTAACATTCACCGAGATCTTCATGTCACACCCCATTTTATCTTCCCAGCAGCCATTATGCCCATCTCCCTAGGAAACAGGCCAAGGAGGCAATGCAGTGTCACTAAGCCACTCTTGACTTCAAAAACCTCTATCCCGTCTCTCAGGGACACCAAGAGCAGCAGCTAAGAAGCACTGGAAAGTTACAGGTTCAAGGTACCAGGTTCCATCTTTACCTACAACCTTTCTGTGAAGGCTAGTGCCAGTTCAGCCTAGCTGGGGATGGCAATCGCTCATTGTCAGGGGCACCTCAGACACAATCGTGTTTGCACAAGCCAGAGTCGAACTCTGCTCTCCGCATACAAAAAGCGCCCCTCCACAAGGATGACTTACCAGACCCAGAGGGCCGATCTTGGGGGCCAGGGCAGACGTGGCACCGACTTCCCCACCGGTGCACCTCAGGTACACTGGGAGAAAGAAAGGATCAGTGCCTCCGCAAGGGGAGCCCCCAAGTCACAGCCCTCCCAACGCATCTTTCCGGGCCTGGCCACACCACCTTCTGCCTCTTCTCAAAACAGCCCCAAGAGGGCTTCCCTGGTGGCGCAGTAGTTGAGAGTCCGCCTGCCGATGCAGGGGACATGGGTTCGTGCCCCGGTCCGGGAGGATCCCACATGCCGCAGAGCGGCTGGGCCCGTGAGTCATGGCTGCTGAGCCTGCGCGTCCGGAGGCTGTTCTCCGCAACGAGAGAGGCCACAACAGTGGGAGGCCCGCGTACGGCAAAAAAAAAAAACAAAAAAAAAACAGCCCCAAGAACCTCGGGGGGAGCGAGGCAGGACACCCCTCCCCGCAAGACGTGGACCGCTCCAAGCGCCACGTGGGACAGCGGCCTTCCGCTTGGCTACCGCTGCAGAGGCCCACACCGCGCCGGCGCGGAGGAAGCCCCGGACCCCGGCCAACGCAGCCTAGGGGGACGTGCCCGGAGACAAACCTTACCCTAAGGGTGGGGGCTGCAAAGCCGCCACAGGTCGTCCGGTCCTGCCCCCCCATCTACACGTGGGGAAGCTGAGGCCCAGAAAGCTGGTCGGCCAGGACCACACAGCGCCCCGAACGCAGCACCAGAGGGCCAGCCTCTAGGGGGCAGCGGCTCTAAAACCCGCCGTGGGAAAGGCAATTGCGGCGGAGGCCGCAAGCCGGACGGAACGCGGGGAGGGATGCGCCATCCCGAAGCCCCGGCCACATCTAAAGCACGCACCGACTTTGATCTCGTTGGGGTCGAACTTAGGCGGCATGGTGGAGGCGGCTGGTGTCGGATGAACCCGGATTCGGGACGACCGAAGAAAGTTGCACCTTAGCCTCCTCCGAGCCGAAAACCGAAAGACCGGAAGATGGGGCACTTGCGCCAGTTAAAGTCCTGGAAGCGCGGCTCTCGCGAGAACTGCCGTCTCCGCCCCATCTTGCAGCGACGCCCTTGGTGCCATATTGCTTGTGGGCAGGCACCTAAGGCTGAAGGCTGGAGAAGGAGGCACCGCGGTGAGCTGCAGCTAGGGGTTCTGAAGCGGGGTTCGGGGCAGTTCTCCCGGGGGAGGCAGACAACAGAGCGCTGCTCCCGAGATCTCAGGCTCCGTTGCTGCCCATTCTCCCTGAGGGTCACCCCATAGTTCCTGTCATTCTATCCCAGAACCCCGCCCCTCTCCTGCGGGTCCGCACCAGCGTTCCGAGACCCCACGACCACAGCAATCCCCTACCCGCTTCTAATTCCTTCGTGATGTGGGCATTTTAGCTATTAAAACAATTTTATTGGAGTCTAAATCCGGTCCAACTCTTAATTCTAAGATTCTGCGGTCTTCGGTCTCAGACTTCGTCATCCTGGTCTGCATGACTTTCGGAGATTCTGAGTTTTGGTCCCCAGTTCCTGCGTTTGGAGGAGAGCAGACTGTGGCTCCGCCGGGCCCGTGCCGGGTGGTCTGTCACCCGGCGTCCATGACCAAGACCTGCGAGTGATCGGCCTGCCTTGAGGTCCACCAGAGGGAACGAACGTCGGAGACCTGTGTATCCGCAAAGCAAGGTTGGGCACTGCCCACCCCAGCCAGGGGAGGAGGGTGTGGCTCTTCCTATCTGGGCTGGACGTCGGGGGAGGGGATGCATGAGGCGTGGACATCCGGGAGCAGGTCGGGAAGAGCTGATCTTCTAGGGGGAATGGAGGAGAGGTGGCCGTTGGGGAGGAAGTGAGGGAAAGTTAGTCATTGGGAAGCAGGCGGATAAGAGCTGGTCATCAGGGAGAGATGGGGAGGGCTGTTTTTAGATCATTCCCCATCCCTGCAGACAGGTGGGGTGACAAGAGGAGCCTGAGCCAGCTCTGCAGGCTTGGCCAGCTCCCCAGACAGCCTTCACCTCTATAGGCAGGGACCTGTGATCTCTACGCCGCCCCTTGAGGAATGGGTGTGTGTCTTCTTCAACTGCATCTTCTCCCTGGCCCCTTTCTCCCTAGATCCTTCAGCTGTAGTAGGCCCTGAATAAATGTTTGTTAGATGTGTGGTGCTACGTGGTTAACATTTATTGGGCACTCATCATGTGCCAGGTACTGTGCTATGGGCTTTGCAAATATGGAAACCACTGGATCCAAATAGAACCAAGTGTTGGTAACATTACTCACACTTTACAGATGAGGAGACTGAGGCTCAGAGAGGTGAACCAAGGGGACATGGTTGATAGGTGACAGATCTGCGATTTAAAACCAGTTAAACAAAAAAAAAACAAAAAAAGAAAAAAAATTCTATTTCATCCCAAAGCCCATGCTGTTAACCATAAGCTTCCCTGTATGGTTACTTCCTGGCCCATCGCTGTCCCATATCAAATCTGATATTTTCTGGTACCAGGCAGGCAGTGAGCACCTGGCTTCTGAGTTCAGGATGGTATACTTAATGTGTGCTAAGTTACTGAAGCACCAAGGAGTTGGGCAGACGCCACAGGATCGGGACTTGAAAGAGCAGAGTTCCAGGCTGGTTTTGCTGCGATCCAGGCTGTATAACCCGATCGCTAAACTTGATGAGCATCCGTTTTGTTACTAGAAAGAGGGCTGTGGTGAGAATCAAATGGAATAATAACTGTGAGAGTGGCAAGATGCCTGAGGATTGCTGTTGAGCTTTTATTTAGCTCCGAAATCTCTTTGGTTATGATGTAGTTGAGTTCCCCAGGGTCAAGGTCAGTGCTGGCTAAAGCCATGCAGTGTTTGGTTTGCTGATGCCACTCTGATAGTCTTTCAGGGCCTACAAGGGATTCATCAGCCAAGTCTGTTAGAGTCCTCAAGGAGCATCCTTGGGAAGGACCTGAGGAAACTTCTCCAAGTCAACCCCCTTGTCTAACGTGGAGGAGAGATGGGGGCCCAGAATGGGGAAGGGGTATGCCAGGGTCTCACAGTGGGTCAGGGGCAAATGTGGGCTCAAACCCAGGTCATCTGGCTTGCTGTTGCGCTCTTTCCACATACTGCTGCTTATTTTTAGTCAACAAAGAACAGAGTGTTGAGCACCTGCTCTGCCAGGCTCAAGGCATGGACTGATGGTCAAGATGGACACAGCCCATGCCCACAAGGAACTTACAGTCCCGCAGATCAGCTACATGCTCTGTGTTACTGTGCTACCTGTCTTGGGTTTTGGGGACCTGTGACAGAGTCCCCAGGCCCTAACTTCTCTCCTGTGACCTAGTGTTGTGAAGATCGCTCTAGGAAAAAGGAAGGATGCCACTCTTCTTCCGGAAGCGGAAGCCCAGTGAGGAGGCTCGGAAACGGCTGGAGTACCAGATGTGTCTGGTGAGGGAAAATGGATTTCCTCCGAGCCCATCCCCATCACCACCTCTGCCCCATGCAACAGGGCTCCACACTGCAGTTACCCTCCATAAGCCGATCACACTTCTCATTACTCGCTCACGCTCTTCCCTGCTGGACCTCAAGCCCCATTAAAGCAGAGATCATTGGTCCACCTTCAAAATGGACTAGTTGAACCGGATGGTGTCTGTGATCTCTTGAAGCCCCTTAATCCTATGTCTCTTTGCCTGATTTGCCCACTCTGGAAGGATGGACCCTCTTTTTTTAACTGTTTTTATCCCTAGGCAAAAGAAGCTGGGGCAGATGACATTCTTGACATCTCTAAATGTGAGCTCTCAGAGGTAAACTGGGGTGGTGGTTTGCCTGTGAATTTTTGTCTGCCCTTCTTTCTTAGATCACGTGTCCCTAGGAAAGCTAGATGGGGACTGAGGCTTTTAAAAGGCCAGAAGCTCCTGTCAAGAGGTGTTTCCTTAGGTTTTGTTCTTGTCCGAGAGAATTGAGATGATCTTCTGGCTTCAGCATAGTCTTTAAGAGTCACAGAGTCTAGAAAATGTACTCATGGATTCCTAGGGCACTGGGAGAGCCTGGGATTCTCTGCCAAGCACCAGAGATCTTTCTTTTGCCTCTCATAGGGTTCCTGTTGGGGGTGAGGTGGGTGGGTGGGCAGGTAGTCACCCGATAGCTGATTGGAAGGGAGGGCTTCCACCCGAGCAGCGTTCCTCCCAGCTTTCCCCAGGCTTAGACTTATTCACCTCCTGCCCCGTCTCTCCCCAACGCGTGTGCCACTCAGAACACAAGTTAAAAACTGGCAGGAGGGGAGGCACTGATCCTTCTTTATCTTATCTTAGATTCCATTTGGGGCTTTTGCAACATGCAAAGTTCTGCAGAAGAAGGTGAGACAGATCTTCATTTTCAGAGAATTATTTATTGCTTGTTTGCTTGTTTGAAATCAGGTGGGAATTCTAGGAGTTGTCTTCCTTGCACAGACATCCCCCTTCTCTCTGAATCGCACCCTTTCAGTCTGCAGCAGGTGTGTTCACAGGAGAGCAGGCTTTGGCATCAGGCTGCCCTGGCTTTGCAGTCCTGGCTTTGCCCCTCCTGAATTGGGCAACTTCCTTAGGCTCTTACATCTCAGTTTCTTCATCTGAGAAGACATATGAAATGAAGACATCCGTAGTTCTACTCTCGCAGAGCTTTTATTAGAATTACAAGTGAGGTATGTAGGCAGGTAGAAAGAGAGATAAATGCCCCAAGTATAATGCCTGCCACATAGTAGACACTGAGTAACCGCATTGTTATTAATAATAAAAACTACGGGACTTCCCTGGTGGCGCAGTGGTTAAGAACCCACCTGCCAATGCAGGGGACATGGGTTCGGGCCCTGGTCGGGGAAGATCCTACATGCTGCGGAGCACCTAAGCCCGTGCACCACAACTACTGCGCCTGCGCTCTAGAGCCCGTGAGCCATAACTACTGAGTCCGTGAGCCACAACTACTGAAGCCCATGTGCCTAGAGCCCATGCTCTGTAGCAAGAGAAGCAACCGCAATGAGAAGCCTACGCACCGCAACGAAGAGTAGCCCCCGCTTGACACAACTAGAGAAAGCCCACGTGTAGCAACGAAGACCCAATGCGGCCAAAAATAAATAAATAAGTAAATAAATTTATTTATTTACTTATTTATTTATTTGAATAATAATAAAAACTACACTCATTTCATTCTGGTCACCCAGGGGAGATTAAGAGTGGAATGAATGATTTTTCAGAAAGGCATTGCAGCCTTGAATGCAGGTAGGTAAGAGTATTCTGAATGAAGTATCTAAATGAAGGTAGGTCAAATGTGTTCCATACCAGCAGAGTAGTGAGCTCCTCGACACTGGCAGTGTCCACGCAGGGGTTGCCGCCTAACAAAAACAGCAATAGATGACTCGGATTGGACCACATGCCAGCCCTGGGCTAAGTGGTTTTTGTCTGTTAGCTTGTTAATCATCAATGGCAGCCCTCAGACAGGAATTTATTATTCTCTGTTTTCCACAAGAAGATACTGAAGCTGAGGGAGGTTAAGATCAGGTCAGCTGCACGGGGATCCCTTCTCGGGATGGAAGGTAGAATTAGACCTCTAAGGTCCCTTTCACCCTGGAAACACCAGATTTTAAGGTCATCTGGTTCCACTTTTGGAGACATCCCTTGTGACATCTGCAAGAGCGGAGAACCGGGCAGGGCGGGGCCGCTGGCAGCCTGAGCTGAGCTGGCTACCCCGCCTCCAGCCTCCCTCCCTGCTGCTCTTCTTCAGCCTAACATGTCAAAAATCTTTTCCACACAGGTGTTGATTGTCCACACGAATCACCTCACTTCCCTGCTTCCTAAATCCTGCAGCCTCCTGAGTCTCGCCACCATCAAGGTACTGGGGCCCTTCTCCCAGGCGTCAGGGACTCTGCGTGGTGTTCCAGGTGGTAGCATCCCCGCTCCCTTCACACGTCCTCTGTCACAGTTTATGCCAGACATGCCTAGTGTCACGGGGACTCGGGGGTTTAGTCAGCATGGTTTATCGGGCACCTTGTCTGTGCTTTGTGTGGGGTGCACTTGTAAAGAGAAGCAGCCCCAGGCCCTGCCCTTAGGGAGCTAGGTGGAAAGGCAAGCCATAAGCTCATAGCAAGTGAGCTGGCAGAGAGCAGGGAGACCAATGGGCCCAAACAGGAAGGAATAGGAGAGACACCAGGTGTTGTGTGGTCAGTGCGTGAAAGCTTGGTGAGCTGGGGCATCTCCCTCCTGACCGTCAGCTCCCGCAGGACAAGGACTGGGCTGTAGCCACAGTATATGTGAGGTGAGACCCCACGGTGGTTCCACAGGAACATAAGCTGTGGCAGTGGGTATACACAGTGGGAGAAGAGACCGGCAGCACAGGCATCAAAGTGGTTTCTATGGCTCTTGATGGTGTGCAGGGATTAGGGGTCGTTTTTACTTCTCTTCATTTTTCTGGTCCAACGTGCATTATTTTTATAATCAGAGAAAAGATAACATTAAGAAACGTTTATGTTTATGTATATATTTCATATACATGCATTTTATAGTACGTATGTGCACACACAGACATATATATATATATCCTATTTTTTGCTCATTTTCATTGTTAAAAACATTAGGGAATACAGTTAAGCATAAGGAAAAACATACAATTTCACACTCTAGGGAACTACTATCAATATTTTATTGCATATTTGGTAGTATTTTACTAGGCAAATATGTATTTATACCATGAGGCGTTTTTAACGTGAATATCTATGCATACTCTCTCATAGCTAGCTTTTTTCACTCAACAGTAAAAATAAATATTTGATAAATAAGAGAATGAAGTGGTATGATACTTTTAGAAAGGAAATGAGATGGAATGATCATTTAGTTGGGGAGGAAGGGTCGGTGCTCCTGCTTTCAACACCAGAGGCGTGGGGCACCCCTGTCCAACCTCACCCTTGTCTCTCCGGAGCCTGAAATCAGAGGGCCTTTCTCAGCTGGTGACTTCTAGGTGTTAAACTTGTTCCCCTTCCGCAGGTTCTGGATCTTCATGATAATCAGCTGACAGCCCTTCCTGATGATATAGGGCAGCTGACAGCCCTCCAGGTATGGCTTCAGGAAACAGAAAACCCACCTCTGACCACCTAAGTAAGAAATGGCAGCCACACAGACCTGGAATGTTCTGGTCGCGCTCTTTCTAGCCAGGGCTGCACTTGGTGCCACCGGCTCCTCCCCCTTTGCTCTTGAGATGCCCAGTGATGGCGTCAACATAGCAGTCTGGGCTGTGGGCATCTCTCCACCATGTTTTTGGCATGTGCTTTTGGGATTTCATCATGAGCTTCCGCAACTTTAAAGAAAAAGAGCGCCCAGAGAGTCTACCTTTTCCAGATGATGAGTTCAGCACTCTGACTCACCGCCTCACTTCTGCTCCTTGTCAGCGGCAGCCCCTGCATTTACGGAGCGTTCCCTGCATGCCAGCACCAAGCTAAGCGTTGCGCTTGCGCTGTCGGCTGATTGATTCCTCACAGCCACTCTGCGAGGCAGGTGTTAGCATCATCCCCGGTTCACAGAGGAAGCCGCGCCGTCCTTCACACTCAGATTAAAATCCCTTCTCTTCACTGTGCCCCATCAGACCCTGTACACTGGGCCCTCCTGTCTTCCCAGCCTCCTTTCCTTCTCTCTCCCCTCCACTGTCTGCACTCATCTCCTAAAACCCTCCAGCCCTCTGCGCCCCACCGCCGGCAGGGCGTCTCCACAAGGCTCTTCCTTCTGCCCGAGTAGCTCTTCCTCCGTCTCAACCCAAATGTCCCTGCGAATCCTCCCCGACGCCCCCATCCAGGTGGATCCACGTTGTTCGCCTGTCTCAACCGCGTATTTCCCTGAGCGCACTGATTGCAGTCTGTAATCACTAGTTATGCTCAGCTGGCTCCCCTCCCGAACTGTCGTCTCTGTGCGGGCAGCGTCCTCGCCTAGCGCACTGCCTCCCACGTGGAGGAAACTCAAGATGACTTGAATGAACTACCCTGCGAGGTGGGTGCTGTTATCACATTTACAGAAGAGAGAACGGGTCCAGAGGGATGACTGTAACTTGCCCAGGGTCACGTGGAGAACGTGTGGCTCAATAGTAGTAACTGCCCCACTGAGAGAGCCACAGTGAATACCAGGGTATAGGATCTTTGGGGAATTGTTTACGTATGTATTTTTGTAGAATTGCTGCATTCGCTGTTTTGTAACCTTTGGATACCTGATAATAACTCGTAACCATCCTTTGCTTCATCAAATATTCATCTGCCACATTATTTTTAACGTGCTTCCCTTTCCATCGTATCTATTTTTAATGGCTTCCTCGTGTGTCATCCTGTCAGCCTCGCTCATCTCGTGACACCACATCCTGGAGGGAGTGTGGCCTTCGGGATCCAGCGAGCCCGGGTTTCAATCCTGGCACCACCAGCTGCCGGCCTTGAAGCCTTGGCCAGATCCCATTGCCTTTATGCAGCTCAGCTTCCTTCTGCTAACACTGGGATAACTAGGCCTCAACACACGCTGCCTCACCTGGATCCCTGAATCTGCTCGTCCCCTTCTTCCTCCCGCCCTGATTGTGGGACCATTGTTGGCTATTTTGTGGTCAATATAAATGATACAACCTCAGCAAGAACTAGGTTCAAAGTCTGGCTTTGCCCTTCTGGACACATGACTTCACTGCTCTGAGCCTCAGTTTTCCCATCTCTCAAATTTGATCATAACAATCTTTATCTTCCTCACAGGGCTGTCAGGAGATAAAGAGGTGTGTGTGGTGCCCAGATGATGCCCGGCCTGAAGCAGGGTAGACACTGTTGTCTGTGTGTGCACGTTCTCACGCCATTTTCCCCTCTTTCTTAGGTCTTGAATGTGGAAAGGAACCAACTGACGTATCTCCCGCGTTCCATTGGGAACCTGATCCAGCTCCAGACCCTCAACGTGAAAGGTAGGGGCCAGGAAGCCCTGTCCGTGTGACCCTTGGTCAGCTCTGGGCTGACCCAACCGGCATCCACAGGGTGCTCCTCCTGAGAACCATTGAGCACGAGGGCAGCCAGTCCCCAGGTGTCACTCTAAACTGTCTGACTTCCTGTTTAGTCCATCTGTCTTCATGGTAACCAGAGACAGGGCATCTGGAGGGTTCCTGTGACTCCTCCGAGCCAGGGCCTCACAGGGAGGAGGGCAGACGATGTTGACAGCTAGGCCCCGAGGCCCAGTCACTGGTGTTTAGAATGTGGTGGACTGACTGGGCAAGAGTGATTCTGAATAGCGCTTCCCGCCACTGAAGAGCACCTCCAAATTCAGCGGTGCCATGAGCCTCATGACAAGTCCCTGAGGTAGGGAGAGGACGGAGATCTTATCCCCAATTTACACATGAGGAAAACGAGGCTCAGAGAGCAGTGACTTGCTCCAGACCACCCACTGCGATAGTGACACGGCCGAGATTCTAATGCGTGCCTCCCCCAGCTCTTTCATTTCTTTTTGGCCTTAAGCACTTTCTGTACAGAATGCCCCAGTTTACCTGTTTGTAACATATAAATAATGGTAAAAATAACGGTACCCAACTTACTAATCACTTACTATGTGATAGGCACTGTGCTGAGCACCTCATATGCATAATCTCATTGAATCCCTCAATATTCCTATGAGGCCAAATAGTATTACCATCCGCATTTTACAGATGAGGAAACTGTGGTCCAGGGAGGTCGTCAGTTTTCCACAGTCACTCAGCTGATTAAGTGGTGGAATGGGAACTTGAACCCAGGTCTCTGAAACTCCACTGCCATGTTTTTCCTTATGGAGCCTTAGGTTCCAGGCCCTGGCACGTGCCCCAGGCTCAGAGGGGGGCACCCTCCTCCCTGGGTCCTCGCGGGAGTCAGGCAGGAAGATGGTGAAGGGGTTTTGGGGTGCTGAGCTGTGCCATTGGGATCCCTCCAGACAACAGGCTGAAGGAGCTTCCAGACACCTTGGGGGAGCTTCGGAGCCTGCGTACTCTCGACATCAGTGAAAGCGAGATTCAGAGGTTGCCGCAGATGCTGGCGCACGTTCGAACCCTGGAGGTAGGTGGGGAGATGTTCTCACCTGGGGTCCTACCTGGCCTTCCCACCGCTCCCTTCCCACACTCCTGGAGGCCTGCCCTGGTTGCAGGGTGCTGGGGTCACAGAGGTCTCAACATCCTCAGGGCCTCACAGAGCCTGAAGTGTGAACCGTTGTAATTATGTGACTTTTGCTGCCATGATGGAGGCAGGAAAACAGATTTCTGGAGTGAAGAGATAATGCCAAGTCCTGATGGGGTTAATTAACATTCTAGGAAAGACATGGTATTTGAGCCAGACCTTGAAAGAGGAAAAAGCTTTTGAGAAGTAGACACAGGTAACGGGAGCATTCCAGGTGGAGGAAACAGTTCGGGAAAAGGCAGGAGGTGGGAAAGCCCAGGACACGTTAAAGGAAGAGCGGGGAAGCTGATGTGGTTGGAAGTTGCTGTGCCTGGAGGGTCCAGGGCATAAAGAGCCTGGGCGCCGTCAGAGAGGGAGTGGCCTCAGCTTGGAGCTGCAGAAACTGAGATTCATCAGAGCAGGGGGTAGTGGGCAGGGGAAGGTGAGCACCGGGGACACTGTGTTAGTCTCCCAGGGCTACCCTAGCGAAGCACCCCAGGCTGGGGAGCTTAAACAATAGACTTTTTTTCTCTCACGTTCCTGGAGGTTGGAAGTCCAAGATCAAGGTCTCGGCAGGGTTGGTTTCTTCTGAGGCCTCTCTCCTTGGCTTGTGGACGGCTGTCTTCTCCCTGTGTCCTCACATCATCCTCCCTCAGTATGTGTCTGTGTCCTAATTTCATCTTTTAAGGACACCAGTTGATACTGGATTAGGGCCCAGACAGGTTTGTTTCAAACTTGATTACCTCTTTAAAGACCTTACATCTTGATCGCGTTGAGCAGTGAGGTGAGTGACATATAAAGAGGGGTCCCCTTGTGTCTGCAGACTCTGAGCCTGGACGCGTCATCCATGGTCTACCCCCCACAGGAGGTGTGCGGTGCCGGCACTGAGGCCATTCAGCAGTTCCTCTGCAAAGGTAAAGCCAGGCAGCCTGCCTCCTTCACTCAGGGAGCACCAGATGTGACCCCTGGGACTGCTCTGCGCCAACCAGGTGGCTGGGGGAGGCCACGGTCCCTGCCTGCTCAGAGCTCTCCAGATCTGGCAGGAGAAACAGGCAAAGCAGATTGTCACACAAGGAAGTACGATTACCGATTGTGGCTACAAGAGAGTAGAATCGGGCATCTGGTTTAGGCTGGGCCCTCGGGGAAGGTCTTTGCAAGAAAGTGGCTTGACTGAAACCTGAGGGATGATTAGAAAAGAGAGAAGGATGTTCCTGGCAGAAGGAGGTGCATGTTGAAGGGCCTGGAGGGGCGGGGGAGTGGGAAGCATGATGGAGAGAAGGCCAAGTGGCTGTGTGCAACAGTAGAGGCGAGAGGAACAGATGAGGCTGGAGAGGGTACCCGGCCGGTATCAAACAGGAGAGGGATTTGATCAGATTCGCTTTTTACAAAGACCACTCCAGCTGCAGTAAAGAGGAGGGATTGGAGGAAGCAAGGACGGGGACCAGTTAGGAAGTCATTGGGGTCATCCAGGAGAGAGTCCACCATGGGTTGGACTTGGAGGAGTGGCTAGAATCCAGGGCCACCCCTGGACTGGGTGCCAGGAGGGGAAAGCAGTACACCCAGTTACCTCCTGTCAGCCTGGATGTTCTTAATTAGGGGCTCTTGTCCACCTGTGGAAATTTTAGAACATGGCCAAGACTTGCATACATATGGTCATCTGATTTATGACAGAGGTGCCATTGCAAAGCAATGAGAAAGAAAAGCAAAGGTCTTTTCAATAAACAATTCTGAATCAATTGGATATTCATGTGGGAAAAAAAGAACATTAACCTAACCTCTTCCTTAGACAGGCAGCACTAACCATAAAAGACTGATAGATTAGATTTCATTAAATCAAAAACTTCTCCTCTTCAAAAAACACCATATGGGGAAAGAAAAGGCAAGCCATAAAGTTGAAGTTGATATCTGCAATGCATACATATCCAACAAAGGACTTACTCCTAGGAGATAAAAAGAACTCCTACAGATCAATAAGGAAAAGCTGTTGTCAAAAGACTTGAATCGGAATTTTATAGAAGAGAATATCCAGAGGGCCAGTAGTATCTGAAAAATGTGGTCAACATCGTTTTAGTCAATTTAAAAAATGCAAATTAACCCAGGGATGCAAGGATTCTTCACTATACTCAGATCAATCAATGTGATACACCACATTAACAAATTAAGGGATAAAAACCATATGATCATCTCAATAGATACAGAAAAAGCTTTTGACAAAATTCAACACCATTTATGATAAAAACTCTCCAGAAAATGGGCATAGAGGGAACCTATCTCAACATAATAAAGGCCATATATGACAAACCCACAAGCATCATACTCAATGGTGAAAAACTGAAAGCATTTCCACTAAGATCAGGAACAAGACAAGGATGTCCACTCTCACCACTCTTATTCAACATAGTTTTGGAAGTCCTAGCCACAGCAGTCAGAGAAGGAAAAGAAATAAAAGGAATCCAAATTGGAAAAGAAGAAGTAAAACTGTCACTGTTTGCAGATGACATGATACTATACATAGAGAATCCTAAAAATGCCACCAGAAAACTACTAGAACTAATCAATGAGTTTGGTGAGGTTGCAGGATACAAAATTAATGCACAGAAATCTCTGGCATCCCTATACACCAACAACGAAAAATCAGAAAGAGAAATTAAGGAAACACTCCCATTTACCACTGCAACAAAAAGAATAAAATACCTAGGAATAAACCTGCCTAAGGAGGCGAAAGACTTGTACTCAGAAAACTATAAAACACTGATGAAAGAAGTCAAAGATGACATGAACAAATGGAGAGATATACCACGTTCTTGGATTGGAAGAATCAACATTGTGAAAATAACTATACTACCCAAAGCAATCTACAGATTCAGTGAAATCCCTATCAAACTATCAATGGCATTCTTCACAGAATTAGAACGAAAAATCTTACAACTTGTATGGAAACACAAAAGACTCCGAATAGCCAAAGCAATCTTGAGAAAGAAAAACGGAGTTGGAGGAATCAGGCCGCCAACTTCAAACTATACCACAAAGCTACAGTAATCAAGACAGTATGGTACTGGCACAAAAACAGAAATATAGGTCAATTTTACAGGATAGAATGCCCAGAGATAAACCCACACACATAAGGGCACCTAATTTGTGACAAAGGAAGCAAGAACATACAATGGAGAAAAGACAGCCTCTTCAATAAGTGGTGCTGGGAGAACTGGACAGCTTACATGTAAAAGAATGAAATTAGAACACTACCTAACACTGTACACGAAAATAAACTCCAAATGGATTAAAGACTTAAATATAAATAAACTCCAAATGGATTAAAGACTTAAATATAAGACCAGACACTATAAAACTCTTAGAGGAAAACATAGGAAAAACACTCTTTACATAAACCACAGCAAGGTCTTTTTTGACCCACCTCCTAGAGTAACAGAAATAAAAACAAAAACAAACAAATTGGACTTAATTAAACTTAAAAGCTTTTGCACAGCAAAGGAAACCATAAACAAGACAAAAAGACAACCCTCAGAATGGGAGAAAATATTTGCCAATGAAACAACAGACAAAGGATTAATCTCCAAAATATACAAACAGCTTGTGGAGCTCAATATCAAGAAAGCAAACAATCCAGTTAAAAAATGGGCAGAACAAGAGGGAGGGGATATGGGGATGTATGTATACGTATAGCTGATTCACTTTGTTATACAGCAGAAACTAACACACCACTGTAAAGCAATTATACTCCAATAAAGATGTTAAAAAAAAAAAATGGGTGGAAGACCTAAATAGACATTTCACCAAGGAAGACATACAGATGGCCAAGAGGCACATGAAAAGATGCTCAACATCACTAATTGTTAGAGAAATGCAAGTCAAAACTGCAATGAGGTATCACCTCATGACGGTCAGAATGGCCATTATCAAAAAAGCTAGAATCAATAAATGCTGGAAAGGGTGTGGTGAAAAGGGAACCCTCCTACACTGTTGGTGGGAATGTAAACTGATACAACCACTATGGAAAACAGTATGGAGTTTCCTTAAAAAACTAAAAGTAGAACTACCATACGACCCAGCAATCCCACTACTGGGCATATACCCTGAGAAAACCATAATTCAAAAAGAGTCATGCAGGCTTCCCTGGTGGTGCAGTGGTTGAGAGTCTGCCTGCCGATGCAGGAGACAAGGGTTCGTGCCCCAGTCCAGGAAGATCCCACATGCCGCGGAGCGGCTGGGCCCGTGAGCCATGGCCGCTGAGCCTGCGCATCTCCATAACGGGAGAGGCCACAACAGTGAGAGGCCCGCATACCACAAAAAAAAAAAAAAAAGACATGCACCACAATGTTCATTGCAGCACTATTTACAATATCCAGGACATGGAACCAACCTTAATGTCCATCAACAGACGAATGGTTAAGGAAGATGTGGCACATATATACAATGGAATATTTCTCAGCCATAAAAAGAAACAAAATTGAGTTACTTGTAGTGAGGTGGATGGAGTAGAGTCTGTCATACAGCGTGAAGTAAGTCAGAAAGAGAAAAACATACCGTATGCTAACGCATATATATGGAATCTAAAAACAAAAAATGGTACTGATGAACCTATTTGTTGCAGGGCAGGAATAAAGAGGTAGACATAGAGAATGGACTTGACATGGGGTGGGAGGGTGAAGCTGGGACGAAGTGAGAGTAGCATCAACATATATACACTACCGAATGTAAAATAGTTGGCTGGTGGGAAGCAGCAGCATAGCACAGGGAGATCGGCTTGGTGCTTTGTGATGGCCTAGAGGGGTGGGATCAGAAGGATGGGAAGGAGGCTCAAGAGGGAGGGGATATGGGGACATGTGTATGCATATGGCTGATTCACTTTGTTGTAAAACAGAAACTAACAGTATTGTGAAGCAATTATACTCCAATAAAGATCTATTTTAAAAAATGCAAATTAAGACTGCAAAGAAGGACTTCGCTGGTGGCACAGTGGTTAAGAATCCACCTGCCGAGGCAGGGGACATGGGTTCGAGCCCTGGTCTGGGAAGATCCCACATGCCATGGAGCAACTAAGCCCGTGCACCACAACTACTGAGCCTGCACTCTAGAGCCCGCAAGCCACAACTACAGAGCCCAGATGCCACAGCTACTAAAGCCCCTGTGCCTGGACCCATGCTCTGCAACAAGAGAAGCCACCGCAATAAGAAGCCCACGTACCACAACAAAGAGTAGCCCCCACTCACTGCAACGAGAGAAAGCCCACATGCAGCAATGAAGACCCAATGCAGCCAAAAATAAATTTTTTTTAAAAAGACTGCAAAGAAATACTTAGACACCCGCTAACACGGCCAGAGTTAATCTGTCAATACCAAGAATTGGGAAGATGCGGAGCAGCTGGAGCTTCCATGCTCTGCCGGTGGGAGCGTGAACCCGAAAAGACTTCAGAAAGTTATTGTCAGTATCTACTCAAGCTGAACGTTCAAATACCCTATGACCCATTGGCTCCACACCTCGGTAGGTGCCCAAGAGAGAAATGCGTGTGAACAAATACCCAAAGCTACGTATGGAAACACTCATAGCAGGACTATTCGTAACGTAGCAGAGTGGTAAGCTGTTTTATACTCACAAATGAGCACCACACAGCAACCAGAAAGAACACGCTGCGGCTGTGCTCAACAAGCTGGCTGAGCTCACGGACACACGGGGAGTGAGAGAAGCCAGACGCAAAGAAACATGCACTTTTATCAGCACCTGAGCTCTGAACCAACCCTGAGGCCTGCTTCTGGAGTGTGTTCACTTTTAAACATTCATCAAGCTGTTCATGAAGATTTTGTGTTCATTTCTGTGTGTATGTTATACTGCAGTTAAAAAGGAAGGAGAAGTTACACATGCATCCCACTACAGCTAATCAAGCCACGTATCTACCCAATTAATCTTTGAGCAGTAGGTGATTGCAATGGGTACCCCGGCCAATGGTCGAGCTAGACCAAACCATTTATTTTAAAAGATTTTAAAGTTATGCAATAGTAGGTGTACAAAAGACGTAAGGAATAAAGCAGTGAACATATGTATACCGACTATACAGTTTAAAAAATAACCCGGGGACTTCCCTGGCGGTCCAGTGGTTAGGACTTGGCGCTTTCACTGCTGGGGCCTGGGTTCATTCCCTGCTCGGGGAACCAAGATCCCACAAGCCAAGCAGTGCAACCGGAAGAAAAAAAATCCTTCAACTTATTTAAACTGTGTAGCAGGTGTATGTATGTACGTAAAATTGTTGGTTTCACTCTTTTAAAAACATAAAAGAGAAAACCCCACAGAAGATGTCATACTAGGTGATTCTATGCCCTGCTTTTTTCACTCAAGAATAGGTCTTGGGCCTTTTCCCATCCCAGCATGTGTGCATCTGCCTTGTTGTAAACTGCTGTAGAGTATTTCACATGGCGGGGCCCCATCACTTATGTATGGAAGTTATTTCGAGTTTTCCCCTGGAATGAATGTTTACCCCACACCTCCCTGGCAGGCAATAGTAGGGTTGGTAGGTGAAGGCGGGACAAGGGTACCTGGGAAGGTACCCTAGGGCCCTGCTGCGTTACAATCACAACTCTATGTTGCCTCTGAAGAGGTTACATCAGTTCACATTCCATGAGGAGTATCTGAGACGACTCTTCTTCCCCACAACCTGGCTAATGCTTGGTGAGATCTTTAAGTCTTCTAATCTGATGGGTAAACAAGAGAGCCTATTATTATTTTAATGTAATTTCCTTGATTATTTGAATTTTTTTTCACATGTCTACTGCCCATTTTTTGTATTTCTTGTGAATTGCCTATTTATATCCTTTGGTAGGGGAAAAAAGGTGACTTTGACTACATTAAAATCTAAACAACTTTACCTCAAAAGGATACTGTCATCAAAGTTAAAAGACAAGTTACCAACTGGAAGAAGATAGTTGCAACATATATTATAGACCCAAGGTTATTAACTACAGTATGTAGAGAGCACCTACAAATCAGCACGATTTAGGCAGAATGGGCAGAGATTATGAATCCTTTCAGATGATGCAGGAGGACACTACACAGGGCCAGAAAAGGCAAGCATCTTGCCCATACACAAGAAATTATGGGTGAAGCTGGGTCTTGGACCCAGGCTTCTTTATTAAGTTCAGGCTTTTTCCATCACCTCATTCTCACTTGGATGGTAACGAGGCGGGTGGGGGGAGGGGCGTATTTATTCACTCAGCTGATGCTTATTGAGCTCTTGCCGCATTTAAGGCCCAAGCGTCAGGCCTGTGAGCAGCATTGGCGGGCTTAGCGTCTAGCAGAGAGGCGCAGTGGACTGAGGTAGGAGTGGGACAGGATGCTGGCAGGGGTCGGGTGGTGGGTGAGAGCGGCAGGAGCGGACTGTCCTGGGTTCCGAGGTTGTCTCCTCCCTGCTGGTCAGCTGGTGTCCGTCTCTTGCAGCGTCCGGGCTGGAATACTACCCCCCTTCTCAGTACCTGCTGCCAGTCCTGGAGCAAGATGGAGCCGAGAACTCCCGGGACAGCCCCAGTGGGCCCACGGACAGGTTCTCTAGCGAGGAGGTAGACTGGCAGGTAAGGCGCACCTAAGTGCTGGCGTGTGGCGTTGGGGCAGGGAGTACGCAGGCCCTCTGGGCACAGGGGAGATGTTCAGAGCGTCAGCCCCCAGAGTCTTCTATCAAATTAGAACTCACCTCCCTTCAAACCCGTGTGCTTAGAAGCTTTCACAAGGCTTCCTAGGTGGCCTCACCCCACTAGCTCACCAGCAACAGCCTTGCTGTGCTCCTCTCTGTCCCTGAACTCCTCGGGGCCGTGGAACCCCTCTGCTGGAATTCTCTCCACTCACCTTCTCCCAATAACTCAGTCTCCTCCTTCAGTTCCTAGTTGAAACAGCACGTCCTCTGAGTAAGCCGTCCCTGACACAGCAGCCCAGTTGAGGTCTGTGCATGTTCTCAGAATGCCCCGTGCATTTCCTTGGGGGCATGTGTTGCTGAACTCAGGTTCAGCTGCTCGTTGTTCAGGAATCCAATACTGAGAGACAGGTGTTGGGTAAAAGGAAAGATAGCTGTATTGGGGAAGCTGGCAATCCTAGGAGGAAGGTGGATTCGTGTCCTAAGGAACCAACTCTCCACTGTCAGGGGGCAAGAGCTTTTAAAGGGGAGTTTCAGGGGTGTATAGGCAGAAGGAGGGGGCTAAGTGCAGAACAGCATTGTCAGCTCTGACGGTCATCTTTCTTTTTTTTTTTTTTTTTTTTTTGGCGGTACGTGGGCCTCTCCCGTTGCGGAGCACAGGCTCCGGACGCGCAGGCTCAGCGGCCGTGGCTCAGGGGCCCAGCCGCTCCACGGCATGTGGGATCCTCCCAGACCGGGGCACAAACCCGCGTCCCCTGCATCAGCAGGCAGACTCTCAACCACTGCGCCACCAGGGAAGCCCCTGATAGTCATCTTGAAGTTGGTTAGGTGGTGGCCTGAACCACGTCAAAGAGATTGTTTTAGGTATAGTTAATCTTTAACTCCAGGGTCAGTCAGTTTGTTTCTATTTCCTTGGGATTAATTCTTGGAATTGTGTGAGATGGAGCAGTTTGTCATGGCTACAGTCTGGTCATCATGTAGTTAATTTCTTCCACCTGTGGCGGTTTCAGTATCTGCAAAACAGCTCAAAGGGCGAGGCTCAGAATGTTATCTATCGCCCTTGAGGAGGAGCTAAAGGTCCTTGACTTTGTTTAATGGCTAAACTGTTGTTTTGCCTTGCTGACTGTTTTCCTTTGCTTCTGTAATTTCTCATTTCTCTGGTTAAGTTTCTTCTTTGGCTAAAGTTTCTCTACAGACAAGTGGCAGGTGGAGGACATTATGGGCCAGGAGGGGCAGAATCTGTCCTGGGTAGGTAGCCTAGGGCCCTGCTGCGTTACAATCACAGCTCTAAATTACAAGGAGAATTACATGGAAGAGGATTTGTTTACTGTGTGTCTCCCTGCTGGATGGAGCTTCGGGACAGTGGCCCTCCCGGGTCCCTGGGGGTGAACTAGCATAGGTCAGGAATGGAGGAGGAAGCTCAGAAACTGCCTCTGCCCCCCACCTGTCTGCTCCCCCCCCACCCTCGGAGGCCCACAAACCTGGGCCTCCGATGGCTGGGAAGGGGAGCACCAGCTGTAGCCAGTTTGGCTTCATATCTTCCACTGATTTTTTCTTTTTTTTATTATTCTCTGGTTCCCTGATGCCACCCTCCCCCGTATTCCAGAACTGCTGTGAAGGCTTTCGTAGGGTTACGTTTCCTCTGACAGCTCAGTGAGAATTCGAGAGGGAGGAGATTACTGTCCAGGAAAATTGTGTCAATTTATGCTCTCAAAGTATTTACAACATATATTTCTGATGAAGGATTAGCAGACTGAACATACAAAGAACTCTGGAATCAATATGAAACAGGAAACCATCCTAAGAGAAAAAATAGACCGAAGATATATCAATAGGTACTTTACAGAATAAAATAGTACAAATGATCAGTAAGTATGAAAAAATGCCCAGCTTCACTAGTAGTTAGGAACAGGTAAATTGAAACAATGAAATGCCGTTTTCCTCCTCAGATTGGCACAGATTTCACTATGATAATTTCTGTTAGCCAGAGTGTGGGGAAGCAGTGACCCCATAAATTGGTCTTGGGAATGGAAATCAGTCTCCCCACTGTTGAAGATAACTTGACAAAATATGTCAACACTTCAGATGGGCACAGCCCACAATCCAAAGTTCCATTTCTCAGTATATACCCCAGAGAAACACTTGCACAAAGAGACACTCGGAGGAATGTTTGTTGCAGCCTTACTTATGGTGGTGAAGTATTGGCCGCCCCGAGATGTCCATCAGTGGGAAGAGGCTGAACTGACATGTCCTATTCATACGGTGAGAAGGATCTGTTCAGACTTGGGTCACAGGACAGGTGGACAAGTGAAAAGGACAACTTGAACACAAAATATTCAATAATATATTTCCATTTTTATGTTTTAAAAGGAGGTTCAAATACATAAGAAAACAGATCAGTAATTGCCGGTGACTGGGAATAAGAGGAGGGTTTGATGACAGGGGCACAAGGGAATTTAGGGGGTTATGGGACTGGTCTACATCTTGATGGTAGTGATGATTACGATACTGTATGCAATTGTCAAAACTCATAGAACTGTACATTTCTTCCAAAGGATGGATTTTACAGTATGTAAATTATATCTTCATTCAAAAATGTTTATATATATATGCACACACATACAAATATATTTTTCCAAAGGCACAAGTTGTACGTAAGTAGCTGCATGGGGTTGGGTCTGATAATGATGTTTACGTGGGGGCGGGGGATGGGGAGCATGGAGGGGAGTTGGGTGGGAATCAGGATTGGGCCCAGGAGTGGTCAATGGGTACTTCTTATTTTTTTATTTTTTATTTATTTATTTTGGCTGCGTTGGGTCTTCGTTGCTGCGCGCGAGCTTTCCCTAGTTGACACGAGCGGGGGCTACCCTTCGTTGCAGTGTGCAGGCTTCTCATTGCAGGGGCTTCTCGTTGTGGAGCACGGGCTCTAGGTGTGCGGGCTTCGGTAGCTGTGGCTTGCGGGCTGTAGAGCGTAGGCTCAGTAGTTGTGGCTCACGGGCTTAGTTGTTCCGTGGCCTGTGGGATCTTCCCGAACCAGGACTCGAACCCGTGTCCCCTGCCTTGGCAGGCGGATTCTTAACCACTGCACCACCGGGAAGTCCCAATGGGTACTTTTATATGCATGGGCTTTTTACAAGGAGAATATATTCACATGTTATTTGTATAATTAAAGATTAACTTAAGCTTTTTCCTGTGCTGAGATAGGAGGAAAATTTTTTATTTCTTTATAGGATGCTGCTTTTACAGCTCAGACAGACACTGATCCTGGTCTCAGAGCCAGATGACTAAATAGAAGGGCCTCTTAAAAAAAAAAAATGTGCGCGTGCTGACGTTTGATTACAAAACTAGTTCACACTCCTTCTTGTAAATCTAAACAATACAGAAATAGATGAAGTGAATGTCGCCCCTCCTACCCTGCAGTCCCACCCACTGGAGGAGTCGCCATGAGCTGATTAATGAACCTCCTTTGCAGCTTTTGTCTCAACAACCACAAAGCTCAGACTGGAGTCTTGATGGTGGTGTTTTTACAAGAGTGGAACCATGCTGCCCACACAGTGAAAGATGGCAGACATCCTGCTCTAGCTACACCCTCATTTGCCCCATCGTTTGACAGTTGTGTAATCATTGTGTGGATGAACCACGACTTATTGAAGTAATCGCATTTTGATGGACATTTGAGTTATTTTCAGTGCTTTCACTCTTTGAACAATTCCTCAGGAACTTGAGCACATGCCTCTGGGCATTTGTAAGTGTTTTGGTGGCTGGAGCTGGGTACTTGCAGGTGTGTTGTGCAGACATACAAGGGAATCAGATACCCATTCTTGGTCTTTTTTTCGGAGCACTATGCCTTCTCAGTGCTGCATCAACAGAACTGCCTTGAACACCTTCCTACAGTGGGCCAAGCCCAGTGGTTCTCAACCCTCGTGTCCACCAAAACCATCTGGAACCCTTTATCAAACAACCCTCCCCCTCATCCCACCCACCCCAGCCCTCTGATGCAGTCGTCTGGATGTGCCTGCAAATCTGAGTGGTGTCAGGCTGCCCCGGGGACTCTGTCCAGCGAGAACCGCTGCTGTCCACCTTCTCTTGACCCCACTCTTTTTTTCCTCCCAGAATAGGTTCTCAGACTATGAGAAGAGGAAGGTAAGAAAATGCCTTTTGTCCTCTGTCACTTTTCTTCTCATTAAACATCTATTAAACATCTATTAAACAACTATTAAACATCTATTAAACAACTATTAAACATCTATTAAACACTTTTCTTCTCATTAAACATCTATTAAACAACTATTATAAAAGATTTGAGGAAACAAGTTCTTCCTGGCTCTAAATTAGAGAGTAAAGTAACTGTTACCCCTTACATACGTTGCCTCACCACAGTCTCACGCAGCCTCGGTGGCTGGGAGGGTGTCTCCACTTGACAGATGAGAAGACTGAGGCTTGGAGAGGTTGAGCCCAACCCCAGGCTCTAAACCACTAGCCCGTGCCAGTGAAGAGCCCATTTTATTACAGTCGGGCCCTGCGGGGGCGAGGCTCAGTGTTCAGACCTGTCGCCTGTACCGTTCAGAGTTGGGGGGTGGATTCCCCCTGCTGTCATGTCCTAACACCCACAGAGCCTGTGCCAATACTCACCAGGATCTACGTTCTTCCAGGAACAAAAGATGCTGGAGAAACTCGAGTTCGAACGGCGCCTGGAACTCGGGCAGCGAGAGCACGCCCAGCTCCTTCAGCAGAGCAACAGCCAGAAGGATGAGATCCTTCAGACGGTCAAGGAGGTTCGTGAGCGGCTAAGTGGAGTCAGGCCTGTCTGCTCCCTCTGCCAGGGGCCTCCTGACTCAGGCTGAGGTCCCTCTGATGTGGGAAGGCAGTGGGAGTGAGCTCTCTCACTTCCCCCTCCAGGACATGGGGTGGTGGTGGGGTTGTCCATACAGATTATCTCATCCAGCCTGCTCCGGTGCCTGGACACCCTGAGGCCTAGAGACACATCTGGTCCAAGGTCATGTGGAAAGGGCTGGCGGGACAGAGACAGGAAACCTAGTCTCCGCATCCCAGGCCAGGGCCCCTGGCTGCCCTGTGGCGTCTGGGGGTGGGTAGGTGGTCCCCCCACTGACTCGGGACCTCTGCCTGTCCTGCCGCAGGAGCAGTCCCGGCTGGAGCAGGGCCTGAGCGAGCGCCAGCGCTACCTGGACGCAGAGCGGCAGCGGCTGCAGGAGCAGCTGAAGCAGACAGAGCAGAACATCTCCAACCGGATCCAGAAGCTCCTGCAGGAGAATCAGAGGTCTGGCTCCCATCCACCCGGCCCCCAGGCCCAGAGACCTTCCCCCACCTGATGCCCTTTGAGGAGCTCAGGATAGAGGTGCATTTCTCCCTCACGGTCTCTGATTCTGCCCAAGGTCTCGGTGCTGCAATTCACACCAGCTTAAAAAGAAGGTGATCTGGGCATGACCAGGTTTGCCTTCTTGTTTTGGGGCTGCTACTGATTGGAGCTTTGCCTCCCAAGTTTCCTATCTGTAAAATGGGTAGGTTTAACAAGTCAAAATCACGTCCTGTGCCAACATTTCGGGTTCCAGGTCACCAGTCACACTGAGGACAGCCATTTGCCCTATAGGGAGATTGGCTTTAACACAGATCCTGCCCAAGGCAAGAGCTGCAGGGAGCAGGTCAGATAGAGGTCGCACGGAGCCCGAGAAGGGTTAGTTGGGGGTCTCTTGGGGAAAGACTTCAGAAACAGGCTTCCACCACCCCCCATTGCTTCCAGCCTCCCTTTCCACTATCCTCTGAGTCTCTTTCTCCTCCCTCGCCCGCAGTTATGCAGAGCCGGAGGGAGCCGGCCAGCCTGCCGTGCACAGTGCGCTCACCACCAAGGGCGCCCGTGAAAGCTGCCATCTGTTGAGGGCTTGTTACATGCCAGGCACTTTTTATTTTCTCATTCACTCGTTACCAACAGTCCATGAAGTTTTAAAAAATTATTATTCCCATTTCACAGATGAGGAGCTGGGGTTTGGAGTGGTTGAGGAATTAGCCTGAGAACACAGAGGCCCTAAGTGGTCGGGGCCTAAGCCCCCCTTGAGCCATTCTTTTGGAAATGGGCCCGCTGGTGACTACAGGCTTTTCATGGTTTCCTCCACAGGCAAAAGAAAAGTTCTGAGATTCTGAAGTCGCTGGAAAATGAAAGGTAAGTGTTCTGCTCTAGTGGGGTTTTTTGGGCGCTGCCTTCCTTCCTGGGGATGCATGGCTCTGGGGAGAGAAGGTCTTGTGATTCTCAAGGATTATGCCAGAAAGTTTTCCTAAAGCTAGGAGGAGATTCACCTCCTCAGGAAGTATTGAATTAGAAAGAATCGCTGCCTTCAAGTTTGTTAAAATACATAGACACTCCTGAGAAAAATTCAGAGACGTGAATAAGAATGTATATATAATGTCCTACTATGTTTTTAGAATAAAAAAATAGAAAAAAGTCCACATTTCTGGGAAGAAAAACTTGGTTACGTAAATTATGTACAGAGGAATAATCTGTAGCCATTAAATATCTTATAGAAGAACATTCCTTATTAAGGGAAATACACCATATTGCTAAGTGGAAAAGTGGTGTCTACACTATATCATTTCTTAAAGACACTCTGCCTGTATCTGTGCTCAGAAAGCAAAAGGATATTGAACATTTTTGAGAGGCAGGAATTGGAGGTGGTGACCTTGTTTTTTCCCCTTTGTGTTTTCTGCATATTTCAAATCGACTGCACTGAGGTGCCCACCTTAGTGATTAGAAATGGAGGGACAGCCCCTACCCCCCATTCCCTGGGTATTAATGTGAATCCCTCCTGGTTCTCAGGGACCCTAGACTATCAGTGTGGACCTGGCTGCTGTGCTCTGCGGGAGCCTCCCCTCCCCGTGGGCCCAGCCTTCCTGGCTCCTGGCTGCCTGTGCAGGCCTCCTGCAGGGGACTCCCGTGGAGTTGCAGTGTAACCCCACCACCCTGTCCACTTCAGCCGGGAGCGGTGGCAGCCAGGCTGGTCTAGGCCGAGCTGAGCTGTGGCCGGTGGCATCGCTTATTCAGCACGCTGGCTGAGTGCCCTCTCTGGGCTAGGCCTGGGCTATGCCTAGGGTCCAGGGATGCGTACCAGATACGGCCTTCCCCTGAGCAGCCTGTGGGCCTGGGCAGGAGGCAGGAGTGCTCAGACGGTACGTGGCTGCTTCCAATAAAGTCAGACCCTGCGAGAAACATTAAAGGATGCTGTCCCCCTCCCAGCTACTGTGCCAGTGTGGTGTGGGGGGCAAAAAGTGTACACATAAGCAACATGCACATACATACATGCCATTACTTTTTAAATTTTCACTTATATCACAGATGTATTTCCATGCCCAAAACCTCATTATTTGTACTAGCTGTAGCGAATTCCACTATATCATTATATCATAATTTACGTAATTAGCCCTCTGAACACTTAAGCGGTTTCTGGCGTTTCATAATTACAAACAATATATATTACTGTAAACATCTTCTAGATATACCCTTACGCACTTATGTGAATGTTTTTGAAGGAAATATTCGAAGAACACTTTGATAGTATTGCCAGACTGCCTTCCAAGAACATTTTACCAGTTTACACTCCTCTCAGCAGTATATGAAGTACCCACTTCTCCACTTTCACTGCCATCACCAGTGGTTATCGGTTTTTTTAATCTCGGCCAACCCGATAGGTGAAAAAATTTTACTTCTTTCATTATCAGTGGTGTTAAGAATCTTTCCGTACGTTCTTTGGTCACTTTTATTTAAGCATCAGTGGATTGGCTGTTTGTATCCTTGGCCCATTTTTCTAAGGGAATGTTTATCTTTTTATGCAAGAAACTCTTAAAGTTAACAGGGCCCCAGTGGAGGCACATGATGCCGTGGGCATTCAGAGTATGCCTAAGTTCTCACATCTGGGAGGACTTCTTGAAGGAGGTGGTGTTCATCTGATGGGATTCCCTGTTGGAAATGTTACTGATACATTTGCTGATGGATCGATCTTTTTCTAGAATAAGAATGGAACAGTTGATGTCTATAACCCAGGAGGAGACAGAGAACCTCCGGCGCCGTGAGATTGCCTGTGAGTCTCAGGGTGGGGTAGGGCAGGGCAGGGTCCTGGGAGCAGAGCGTGGCCAACTGAGGGGCAGGAGGAGACAGCCATCCCCCTTTTGGTCACATATAGAGGGCGCTGAGAGTTACCCCTCAAGAGGAGCGGTCAAGGCCCGTCATGGATCATGGGCTCTGAGGTCAGCTGAACTTGGATTCAGAATCCCAGCTCAGGCACAAGCCGTATGACCTAAGGGGCATTACTGGTCCCTCTCAGTTTTCATGTCTGTAAAATGGGGAGAAAGGTAATTATCTGCCTCGTGGGGTCATTATGAGGGTTAATAAGATCATGCTGGCGCAAAGTGAGCTGTTCACAAAGCTTGGCTGTTAGGGCTGCTCTCCTCAAGGGCTGTGGTGGCCTCTCGAGCCCCTGGGAACTCGCCTTCCTGTCGCTCCCTGAGTGGTCCTGGGGCACCACACTGTCCACACAAACAAGAGGGAGGTCTCCCCATCTGATCCTGAGAACATCAAGCCACGTGGCAGGGAAGGCAAGGAGGCAGTTCCTCGTTGTTATTTAAAATAAGGAATGATTCTTTTTGGATCACCCCATTCTTCAGAGCCTGAGTGATAGAATGGGATATTGTGCGCACCTTTAGCCGAGGTTCACTGTGTACCAGGCAGTGGTCCAGCACCTTCCATACACCATTTCATCCTACTACCTCCTGATGAGGTATCATATCATTAATGTCCCTATTTTATTTTATTATTAACATCTTTATTGGAGTATAATTGCTTTACAATGGTGTTAGTTTCTGCTTTATAACAAAGTGAATCAGCTGTACATATATCCCCATATCTCCTCCCTCTTGCGTCTCCCTCCCACCCTCCCTATCCCACCCCTCTAGGTGGACACAAAGCACCGAGCTGATCTCCCTTAAAGGATTAGTGCAGGGGTGGGAAAAAAATCAGGAGGATTTAAACATACTTTGAAAAGAAAGCTCCCACATGAGCTAAAACAAAGTTACAGGCCAGGTTATGGGAATCTAGGTTACATGGCAAATTGTTAGAAAGTAGCTTCCAGGGCTTCCCTGGTGGCGCAGTGGTTGAGAATCCACCTGCTGATGCAGGGGGCACGGGTTCGTGCCCCGGTCCGGGAAGATCCCACATGCGGTGGAGCAGCTGGGCCCGTGAGCCATGGCCGCTGAGCCTGCGCGTCCGGAGCCTGTGCTCCGCATCGGGAGAGGCCACAACAGTGAGAGGCCCGCGTACCGCACCAGAAAAAAAAAAAAAAAAAAAAGTAGCTTCCATGTCCTGGCTATTGTAAATAGAGCTGCAGTGAACATTATGGTACATAACTCTTTTTGAATTATGGTTTTCTCAGGGTATATGCCCAGTAGTCGGATTGCTGGGTCGTGTGGTAGTTCTATTATTAGTTTTTTAAGGAACCTCCATACTGTTCTCCACAGTGGCTGTATCAATTTACATTCCCACCAACAGTGCAAGAGGGTTCCCTTTTCTCCACACCCTCTCCAGCGTTTATTGTTTGCAGATTTTTTGATGATGGCCATTCTGACTGGTGTGAGGTGATACCTCATTGTAGTTTTGATTTGCATTTCTCTAATGATTAGTGATGTTGAGCATCCTTTCATGTGTTTGTTGGCAATCTGTATATCTTCTTTTTGGGAGAAATGTGTGTTTAGGTCTTCTGCCCATTTTTGGATTGGGTTTGGTTTTTTGATATTGAGCTGCTTGTATATTTTGGAGATTAATCCTTTGTCAGTTGCTTCATCTGCAAATATTTTCTCCCATTCTGAGGGTTGTCTTTCCATCTTGTTTATGGTTTCCTTTGCTGTGCAAAAGCTTTTAAGTTTCATTAGGTCCCATTTGTTTATTTTTATTTCCATTTCTCTAGGAGGTGGGTCAAAAAGGATCTTGCTGTGATTTATGTCATAGAATGTTCTACCTATGTTTTCCTCTAAAAGTTTTATAATGTCTGGCCTTACATTTAGGTCTTTATTCCATTTTGAGTTTATTTTTGTGTATGGTGTTAGGGAGTGTTCTAATTTCATTTTTACATGTAGCTGTCTAGTTTTCCCAGCACCACTTATTGAAGAGGCTGTCTTTTCTCCACTGTATAGTCTTGCCTCCTTTATCAAAGATAAGGTGACCATATGTGCATTGATTTATCTCTGGGTTTTCCTGTTCCATTGATCTATATTTCTGTTTTTGTTCCAGGACCATACTGTCTTGATTACTGTAGCTTTGTGGTATAGTCTGAAGTCCAGGAGCCTGATTACTCCAGCTCCGTTTTTCTTTCTCAAGATTGCTTTGGCTATTCGGGGTCTCTTGTGTTTCCATACAAATTGTGAAATTTTTTGTTCTAGTTCTGTGAAAAATGCTATTGGTAGTTTGATAGGGATTGCATTGAATCTGTAGGTTGCTTTGGGTAGTATAGTTATTTTCACAATGTTGATTCTTCCAATCCAAGAACATGGTATATCTCTCCATCTGTTTGTATCATCTTTAATTTCTTTCATCAGTGTCTTATAGTTTCTGCATACAGGTCTTTTTTCTCCTTAGGTAGGTTTATTCCTAGGTATTTTATTCTTTTTGTTGCAATGGTAAATGGGAGTGTTTCCTTAATTTCTCTCTCTGATTTTTTGTTGTTGGTGTATAGGAATGCCAGAGATTTCTGTGCATTAATTTTGTATCCTGCAACCTCACCAGACTCATTGATTAGCTCTAGTAGTTTTCCTGTAGCATCTTTGGGATTCTCTATGTATAGTATCATGTCATCTGCAAACAGTAACAGCTTTACTTCTTTTCCAATTTGGATTCCTTTTATTTTTCTTCTCTGACTGCTGTGGCTAAAACTTCCAAAACTATGTTGAATAATAGTGGTGAGAGTGGACAACCTTGTCTTGTTCCTGATCTTAGTGGAAATGGTTTCAGTTTTTCACCATTGAGAATGATGTTGGCTGTGGGTTTGTCATATATGGCCTTTATTATTTTGAGCTAAGTTCCTTCTATGCCTACTTTCTGGAGGGTTTTTATCATAAATGGGTGTTGAATTTTGTCAAAAGCTTTTTCTGCATCTATTGAGATGATCATATGGTTTTTCTCCTTCAGTTTGTTAATATGGTTTATCACATTGATTGATTTGCATATACTGAAGGATCCTTGCATTCCTGGGATAAACCCCACTTGATCATAGTGTATGATCCTTTTAACGTCCTGTTGGATTCTGTTTGCTAGTATTTTGTTGAGGATTTTTGCATCTATGTTCATCAGTGATATTGGCCTGTAGTTTTCTTTCTTTGTGATATCTGTCTGGTTTTGGTATCAGGGTGATGGTGGCCTTGTAGAATGAGTTTGGAAGTGTTCCTCCCTCTGCTATATTTTGGAAGAGTTTGAGAAGGATAGGTGTTAGCTCTTCTCTAAATGTTTGATAGAATTTTCCTGTGAAGCCATCTGGTCCTGGGCTTTTGTTTGTTGGAAGATTTTTAATCACAATCTCAATTTCAGTGCTTGTGATTGGTCTGTTTGTATTATCTGTTTCTTCCTGGTTCAGTCTCAGAAGATTGTGCTTTTCTAAGAATTTGTCCATTTGTTCCAGGTTGTCCATTTTATTGGCATATAGTTGCTTGTAGTAATCTCTCATGATCCTTTGTATATCTTCAGTGTCAGTTGTTACTTCTTTTTTTTCTAATTCTATTGATTTGAGTCTTCTCCTCCATTTTTTTCTTGATGAGTCTGGCTAATGGTTTACCAATTGTGTTTATCTTCTCAAAGAACCAGCTTTTAGTTTTATTGATCTTTGCTATCGTTTCCTTCATTTCTTTTTCGTTTATTTCTGATCTGATCTTTATGATTTCTTTCCTCCTGCTAACTTGGGGCTTTTTTGTTCTTCTTTCTGTAATTGCTTTAGGTGTAAGGTTAGGTTGTTTGTTTGAGGTGTTGTTTCTTGAGGTAGGATTGTATTGCTATAAACTTCCCTTTTAGAACTGCTTTTGCTGCATCCCATAGGTTTTGGGTCATCGTGTTTTCATTGTCGTTTGTTTCTAGGCAATTTTTGATTTCTTCAGTGATCTCTTGGTTATTAAGTAGTGTATTGTTTAGCCTCCATGTGCTTGTATTTTTTACAGATTCTTAAATGCTGCTTTTAATATTTTTTCTTTGTAGTTAATTTTTGGTAGTTTAATTAGTATGTGTCTTGGCGTGTTTCTCCTTGGACTTATCCTGTATGGGACTCTCTGTGCTTCCTGGACTTGATTGACTATTTCCTTCCCCATATTAGGGAAGTTTTCAACTATAATCTCTTTGGATATTTTCTCAGTCCCTTTTTCTCTTCTTCTTCTGGGACCCCTATAATTCGAATGTTGGTGCGTTAAATGTTGTCCCAGAGTTCTCTAAGATTGTCCTCAATTCTTTTCATTCTTTTTTCTTTATTCTGCTCTGCAGTAGTTATTTCCACTATTTTATCTTCCAGGTCATTTATCTGTTCTTCTGCCTCAGTTATTCTGCTATTGATTCCTTCTAGAGAATTTTTAATTTCATTTATTGTGTTGTTCATCATTGTTTGTTTGCTCTTTAGTTCTTCTAGGTCCTTGTTAAACATTTCTTGTATTTTCTCCATTTTGTTTCCAAGATTTTGGATCATCTTTACTATCATTACTCTGAATTCTTTTTCAGGTAGACTGCCTATTTCCTCTTCATTTGTTTGGTCTGGTGGGTTTTTACCTTGCTCCTTCATCTACTGTGTGCTTCTCTGTCTTCTCATTTTGCTAAACTTACTGTGTTTGGGGTCTCCTTTTCGCAGGCTGCAGGTTCATAGTTCCCGTTGTTTTTGGTGTCTGCCCCCAGTGGCTAAGGTTGGTTCAGTGGGTTGTGTATAGGCTTCCTGGTAGAGGGGACTAGTGCCTGTGTTCTGGTGGATGAGGCTGGATCTTGTCTTTCTGGTGGGCAGGACTGCATCCGGTTGTGTGTTTTGGGGTATGTGTGACCTTATTATGATTTTAGACAGCCTCTCTGCTAACGGGTGGGGTTGTGTTCCTGTCTTGCTAGTTGCTTGGCATAGAGCGTCCAGCACTGTAGTTTGCTGGTGTTGAGTGAAGCTGGATCTTAGCATTGAGATGGAGATCTCTGGGAGAGCTTTCGCCGTTTGGTATTACGTGGAGCTGGGAGGTCTCTAGTGGACCAATGTCCTGAACTCGGCTCTCCCATCTCAGAGGCACAGGCCTGACACCCAGCAGGAGCACCAAGACCCTGTCAGCCACACGGCCAGGTATGTGGGGAGTTTCTTGCCTTTTGGGAAGTCTGAGGTCTTTGGCCAGCGTTCAGTAGGTGTTCTGTAGGATTTGTTCCACGTGTAGAAGTATTTCTGATGTATGTGTGGGGAGAAAGGTGATCTCCACATCTTACTCCTCCACCATCTTGAAGGTCTCCAATGTCCCTATTTTAAAGGTCACCATCATCCACCATTTATAAAGAGAAAGATTGTGTTTGCATTTCTGGAAGGATGTTTATCAAATTAACTAATTGGAAATAGGCTCAGTGTTAGGGATCTTTTCTTTTCCACCTTTTCAAACTTCCCTATTAGCTATTTTAGAAACTGAGCATGTATTATTTTTATAACCGAAAAATTTCAATAAAAATAACAAAAAGGCAAGAAAGGGTAGTAACCCAGAGTTGTAGAGGGCGTATGGTATCAGGCTGTCCTACGTGCTGCTGCCAGAGGGAGTAGGAATCAGCAGGCTCTTCCTGGAGGGCAGAAAGGGTAACTTGCATACATCATCCACGACCTTAAAACTGTGTACTTCTAAGAATTAGTCTAGGAAATAATCAAATAGATGTGCACGAAGATATCTGAGCAAGGATATTTATAGCAGTATCATTTAATAATCGCAGAAAGACTCTGAATGCTCTGAAACGGAGGATCATCTTAAACTTTGGTAATCCAGGCACTGTAGTATTCTGTAGCTATTAACATCACGTCAGCATGTTGACACAGGGATGCATTCATAAAAGGTGAGAAAGTGGTATATTTAGTGTGATAACATTTTAATTTTCTTTTATTATGGTGAAATATACAAAGCATAAAATTTACCATTTTAACCACTTGTAAGTGTACAGTTCTGTGGCATTAAGTACATTCACCTTGTCGTGCAGCCATCACCGCCATCCACCTCCAGAACTTTTTCATCTTCCCAAAGTGAAACTCTGTACCCGCTAAACAGGGACTCCCCACGGCCCCCTCCCCCGGACCCTGTAGGACCACCATTCTGCTTTCTGTCTCTATGAATCTGACTGCTCTAGGTACTTCGTTTAAGTGGAATCGTACAGTATTTGTCCTTTTGTGACTGGCTTCTTTCACACAGCGTAATGTCTTCAGGGTTCATCCACGTTGTAGCTTATGTCAGAATTTCCTTCCTTTTTAAGACTGATTAATATTCCGTTGCATGGATAAGACCACATTCTGTTTACCCATTTGTCCATCAATAGGCACTTGGGTTGTTTCCACCTTTTTTTGCCTGTTGTGGATAATGTTGCTATGAACATGGGTACACAAATATCTGTTCAAGTCCCTGCTTTTAATTCTTTCAGTTAACTTTTAAAAAATCCATCAACATGCATTAAAAATTAACTAGAAGAACATATATCAAAATGTAATAATACTTCTGGGTGACGAGACTATAGAAGATTATGTGTATGTTGTTCAGTGTTTTACAACTAATCAGACTTCCAAGCTGAAGTTACTTCTGTATTTTAAAAAAGAGAGACTTTTTTGTGAGGGGACTGTCAGGTGGATGCCCAGGTAACGCCCATGAGGCCCCCCAGGAGTGGCTGCTCAGCCCTGTCCCCACCCCACCCCCATGTTTCTGCAGCGGCCATGCAGCAGATGCTGACCGAGAGCTGTAACAGCCGGCTCATCCAGATGGCCTACGAGTCTCAGAGGCAGAACCTGGTCCAGCAGGCCTGTTCCAGGTAAGGTAAGGAAGAGGCTTCCCGAGTGAGGGACTCTGGGGAGCTGCCTCAGGGCCCAGGACCGTAGGGTGAGAGCTGGCACTGGAATCTCCTGCCTCGGGCCACCCCACCCTGGGCCATGATGTCAGGAGCAAGTTACCGCTGGTCTAAGTGATTTTTCTAGCTGGACCCTAAGGAAGCACAACTAGCCGATGACAGAGCTCGGGTTTGACCCAGGCTGTGCTCTTGACTATGGTGTACTTATAAATCCCCGAGGGTCATGGGTGGGGTGCACTGGAGGGGGGATGGTGATGGGGCTGCCTTCATGCTGACAGCCATTTTGGGTCTGGCCTTCCAAGTTCGCCCCAGCACCGTGGCTTTGTTGAAGGACCTGCAGTGCCTGGCAGAGCCAGTTGAGAAAAGCTCCTTCGATGCTTAGCAGCCCCAGACAGGGACAGACCAACAGCCCTGGCTGCCCTTGTGTTTCTCCTCCCACCTGGGTGGCTCCAGCGCAGGTGCCACCTCCTCCCCGCCCCCGGGCACCTGGAGCACGCCAGCCTCCCCGTGTCCCTGCAGATGCAGGGGGTCTCCCTCCTTCCTGCTGGCGTGACCTTGTTTTTAGGAGCGTGGGCACTAGGGCCAGACAGTCATGGATTCACATCCCACTTCTATAACTAACTGTGAAGTCTTAGGCAAGTTATTTTCCCTCCCTGAGTCTCAATTTTCTTATCAGAAAAAAAGGGGATAAATCACAGTACCTACTCCTAGAGTTGTTGGAGGATTTAATGGGCATTAATGATCACACTGTCTGCCACATAAGGGTCCAATAAATAACAGCTACTATTATGAAACAGACAACCTTAAAACCAAGATTGTACCAAAGTATGGACATATTAGGTTTGCAGAGTTTGGATTTTTGTGCCAAAGTCACTAGACTTGCTCTAGGGCGACGAGAGCAGGTCCACGGCCAGGGTGAGAGACACTGGGGTGGAGGGTGAGACGTTAGTGCCCGTGAAGGACAGCTTTCTCTCAGCCTGAGTGGCTCACCTGGGAGGTCATGAGCTCCCTGTTGGTGGAGGTGGGTGGGCAGAGGCCAGGCAGCCACTTCAGGGGGGGCATCGTAGGAGGGATTCCAGTGGAGGGGTGGATGACGGGGCCCGGGAGATCATCTCCCCAGCTCTCTGGAGACAGAGACTCCGTCACCCTCCATCCAGGGCCATGGGATTCAGACAAAGCTCCATGTCCACCCCGCCCCCCACAAGCCCAGGATGTGGCCCCCAGCAGGCGCTCCATCAGTATTGTTGAATGAATAAATGGTTTATCTCCGTCTCCTCCAAGGTGCCTGGCACATAGCAGGTGCTCAGGAAATGTTCATGAATTTGCTGTGTTTCTGGCAGCATGGCTGAAATGGATGAGCGGTTCCAGCAGATCCTGTCCTGGCAACAGATGGATCAGAACAAAGCCATTAGCCAGATCCTGCAGGAGGTGAGCCCTGGGGGCAGGGGCTCAGGAGGGGGGCAGGAGGGACGCGGGGAGCCCGGAGCAGAGCGGCAGAACTCCACGTGGAGGCGCTGTCCTGGACTCCTGGACAGCGTGCAAGAACCAGGATGCTTAGGGAGCTGAGAAGCGCACTGACCGTGAGGATGAGGGGCAGGGAGAGGCCTCTCTGGGTGGTCGTTTCTGCTCCCTGAAGTCTAGAGAAGCGCCCTCCCCAGGCAGCCGCTCCCCGTGCTGCGTGGGCTCCATCATGAGGACATGATGGGCAGAAGGCGGTGGTACCCACCCCGTGGAGTGAGCCCCCAGACTCCTCCCTTCCAATCCCGCCGCACCTCCATCTGCTCTCCCGCCGGCTTAGCAGGCGCATAGCAGGTGCTCCTGAGTGGACGGGACCAGGAAGGACCCCTGTGATTTCCTCCCTCCTGTGTCCAAATTGTTCAGTCCCAGCTTTCCCCACAGGCCCTGTTGGAGTCTCATTTCCCGACCCTCGCATCCCCTCCCTCCTTTCTTCCTCTGTGATGTTGTCCTGCCACTCCCTGATTCATCGTTTCCTCTCTCCTTTCTCCCCAACTCCTATCTCTCTCGTCTTCCAAAATGCTTTGACTTAGTATTTGTGAGATTGTCTGAGGAAACTGCTCTGTTTCTTAGAGGGCATGTCAGGCCTCGTGGTTAAGGTGAGGCTGAGAGCTGGACAGACTTGCATGCTAGTGCCAGCCGGTTCACTTCTCTGAACCTCACTTTCCTCATCTGTGAAATGGGGCAGTGAAGGTACTCTCGTCGTCGCCTCTTCCATGTGCAGCGTGGGAAGAGCCCTGAGCACGGTGTCCAGCACGTAGTAAGCGCTTCATAAGTATTATTTTAAAAAATTAAACAAGTAACCTGAAAAGTTGTCTCTCTAAGAAACAGAAAAGGCACACATTAAGGTGTCTGACACAGATTTTGTTTTCCCTGCGGGCCCCCTGAGTGGCCGTGCTCTCTGTTGCAGAGCGCCATGCAGAAGGCGGCCTTCGAGGCTCTCCAGGTGAAGAAGGACCTGATGCATCGGCAGATCCGGAAGCAGGTGAGCGCAGGCTGCGGCCTCCCCCCAGACCCACCCTGTGGGCTTTCAGAGGCGTGAGGAGGGGGCTCCAGGCCAGCCCGACAAGAGGTCTCCCCGGCACCTGCCTCCCCTCACTGAGCCTCGTGGAACCTACTCAGGGTGTCAGGAGGTGCCTGGGCAGTACTGTGCATGCCAGCAGGTGAGACCTGTGCCTGCTGCTTCTCGTGGTGCCCAGGGCTGAGGGACAGGAGGCCTCGACCGCTTGGCGGCCACAGGCAGGGCTCCTCCACCGGCTCAGACCCCAGTGTCCCCGTCGGCCCAGATGGAGGCGCTGGGACAGGCTGACCCCCGCCTGAGCGAGCAGGCAGGGCCTGGTGTCGGCTGGGGAGTGGCCTGGGCCTGGAGGGGAGGGGCTGTGCTCTTGTCCGGGCTCCGCTGCTGACCTGCGGGCAGCCTTGGGCGAACGCCACGCTGGGCCTCTTGGCCACCCGCTTCCAGCAGGGCTGTGTCTGGCTCGCTGGGCTCCCTGAGCGCGTGGCCTGGGTGGCGGCAGACAGAGCGAGCTTTCAGGCTACGGGACGCATGTCAGCTCGTATTCAGCACACTTTGAATTTCACATTTTGCATGGTTGTTTTTTTCTTTTTCTTTTTTGCCAAAACCAACTTACCTTTTTATTTCCCCCTTTAATTTCACTCCCACATTGCCAGACATGAATCTCATTCCTCTGACCAGGGGTTGGTGGGGTCATAAGAACATAGGGACAAAGGTCATAGGCACAGGGTAGAGAAGTCACTGGCCATGGGGTCTGACCCCGAGGGCTAAAAGCCCCCAGTCACACCCTGAAGGTATGTGGTGACTCCCAGACATTCTCATTATGGGTGGTTTTGACCCACCAGGCCAGCTCTTCCCCTTCAGACAAGCAGGGACATCCCAAGGAAAGGGCACACTCACTCACCCGCTGTGTGTCCTTGGGCAAGTTACTTAACCTCTCTGAGCCTCGGTTTCCTTGTCTGTAAAATGGAGGCAATAATACCTCCTAATAGGTATTGATGAAATGATGCAAATAAATTGCACAGCACAGTCCTAGCATGTGGAATCTCAATAAATATCAGCTACTACTATTATTGTTATTATTACTCAGTCCCCTCCATTGCCCTCTGCACTCCTCTGACAGCTGTTTAGAGGAAGCAAGAGAACTGGACTGGGAAGAGGCTCATTGAGAATTCCGTGTCTGTTCTTCACTCTGGTCCTCACCTTGAAGGAAAGCCCCTTCATTCCACACCTTGATCAGCGCCCATTCTGGGCTGGCCCTGTGCCCAGCTTCTGATCAGCAGTACTGTCCAGGACAAGAGGGTCCACGCCGCGGAGGATTCAGGGCCGTGAAATAACGAACTCTTTTTAAACCCCCGCTGATGAGGTTCCCAAGGTACACAGGTCCCCTTCATTGCAGAGCGCCCCCAGAAAGGATTCTTAGATCCACTTGGCCATCCAAGAGCAGCGGCACAGGATTAAACCGTGGTTAATGTGAATTAAAAAACCCCTGTCTCGTCTTCTGTTTAGATTAAGTTAATAGAAACTGAGTTATTGCAGCTGACACAGCTGGAGTTAAAGAGGAAATCCCTGGACACAGAGGCACTACAGGTATGTAGGGCTCCCTAGCCTGCCCTGTCCCCCACCCCACCCCCAACGAATGCACCCACCGCCTCTCAGCTGCTCTCCGGCAGACAAGGCAGTGATGCTGGAGGAGGCCCTGGCCCCAGGAGGCTCGTGGGAGCCCGGTCTGGGGGCCGAGCGCAGCGCAGGCGAAGGTTAGGGCTGGGATCAGCCCGTCGCCAGGCAGTAGGGTCAGAGGAAGGAGGCTTTCATTGCCAAGGCTCACCCAGGCGCATCTCCATCTCCGTGTTTTCTTTGTTTTGGGGCTGGGTTGCTCCTGAGCTCCCTGTCTCTCTCAGTCATGCTTCTGGGGCGCTGGTTCTCACGGCTGACATCCTCTGGGGAAGGAGCTGTCTCAGTGTTCCGAGGATGTCTGAGGAGAGGGTCCAGCTGTGGCTCTGTGAACTCCAGCCTGGGTGTCCTGCTCACACAGATGTGGAGGCTGCAGAGACTAGCAGACAGCGTTCTGGGCTGCAAATCTGGGACCCGGGTTGTCCTCGCACAGTCTTGCTGTGTGACCTGGCTGGGGAGGCAGGGAGGGGCAGCCCTTTCCCTTCTCTGTACCTTAGTCTCCCCAGCTATACGCAGAAGGGTCGGATCAATGATGTGTGAGGACATGTGCCCCGTACCAGGCTTTTGAGCAGAGCCTTCTGTCTGTCACCGTCCCTGTGTCTGTCCTCAGTGGAGCAGTCTTCATTTGTCTCATGGGCTTCTCAATGCAGGAGAAGAACGCTGAGGTCTGGAGTCCCACGGGTCTGTCACCGTATGACTTTAGGCAGGTTACTTCCCCTCCCTGGGCCTCCATGTCTCCCCTGCATAAAGGAAATAGTCTTCCAGGCCCAGCCTGTGTCTCAGGGCCATCAGAGAGGAGTGGGCTAGCAAATGGAAAGGCCTCAGCCTTGCGGGGTTGGTGGAGCTCTGAAAGAAGATGCAACCACCGTGCTTGGTGGGTGCCCATGCATCCTGCCTATTAGAGCTGTGGGGCTCCTGTTTTCGGGGTCTCCATGGGGTTTCCAAGAGGAGGAGAAGAGTGGAACGCAGACACAAATGGGGCTTTCTCGGGTTTGCACATCACTCCGTCTGCGTAGAGCCTTCCTGGCTGGCGTGGGTCCCTCACCCACCCTCCCTCCCGCTGTTTGCTTCTGCCCACGTGCTCCGTAGTCAGTGAGACTGGAGTCAGGTACCTGCTGCTTGTCGTTCCCTTTGTTTGATGTTTCTTACCACTGCACTGTGTTCGGTCACTAGATCCCGTGCCTGGCCTTACCCCTTGGGGAAGGGAGGTACAGGCTGGTGAGAAGGTGGGGAGGGGATGCTGGGGCAGAGAGGCCCCTCTGCTCTGTTCCCCAACTCTCAGCCTGAGATCAGGGACAGAGCCTTGAATGGAGTCGGACCCACTGTGGCCCCCGGCTGCCAGCTGAGAACTGAGTGAGGGGGATCCTGCTGCCGCGCTGCGGAGACTTCTTGGGCCGCGGTACTGCGAGTTTCCCAGCGCTGGGCGTGGTCTTGTGTTGCAGGAGATGATCTCGGAGCAGCGCTGGGTCCTGAGCTCCCTGCTCCAGCAGCTGCTCAAAGAGAAGACACAGCGAGAGGAGGAGCTCCGGGAGATCCTGGTGCGTCTGGCTTCCGCGTCCAGAGTCGCTCATGGGTTTGCTTCCCCTAAATGCTCTTGCCGTTCTTAGGAACACTTTCATTAGTCTAGTAATAGTTGTTCATCAGAGAAAAAATGGAAAGTACAAAGGAAAAGAATCTCACTCCTGAGAGTTGTCTGTTGCTAATATTTTGAGGTATGTTTTCCAAACATCGGGATGCATGTTTATCGCGGTGTGTGCACGTGCCTGTAACACGGAACTGCGCCCCCGTTTCCAACCAGCTCGTTCGCACCTGCTCTTTCCTGTCTTTCGCGTCCTCTGCGTTCCTTCCGTGGCTGCATTGAGATGGGCCCTTGTTTGGCCTATTGTCAAGCATACTTCCCGTTTTTTACTCTTAATAAGTAAGGCTGTCTCGGCAGCTAAGTATCTGAGAACAGCCACGGGTATTTGCTCAGGACAGATGCGCAGGAGAGTACTTGGTGTGTCCAGGGCAGACCATTTAGTAAGCCTTCGACAGGAGTTGCCCAGCTGCCCCCTGGACCCAGATGGGTTTGACTCTGGCACATCATCAGGGTGCCAGAGCCCCCTTTAGGGGGGCAGGTCAGGGTCACTTCCTCCAGAGCCCAAGTGCACCTGAGTGGTCAGGACCCAGTCTTTCCTGTGGCCTTGTTACCGCCCCAGACGTCCTCTGAGCTCCACCGTGGGCCAGGCCCTGTGCCGGGGATGGAAAGGAGCGAGACCAGCTTCTTCCCGAGCCCTGCACGAGCCCAGATGGTGTGTTTGTGCCAGTCAGAAGCTGCCTGTTCCTCACGGTGCCTCACGGCCATCACCTCCAAATTGCATTAATGTGTGACCTGCTCCCTGAGTGCTGCATAAGGGGCAGCCATGCCGTGGCCGCGTGCTCCCGCCCTCAAGGGGCCTTGGGGACTCACTGTGCACCTCATCAGGACATGGCCATCAGGGTCATGGGCTCCCAAAGAGAGGTGTGCCCGCAGCCCAGAGAGGGCCAGGCCGGAAAAGGGGAGCCAGCTCGGCAAGGTACAGGAGGGACCACTAGGGGGAGCCGGGGAGATGCCTGCAGTGTAATCCTGCCGCCCACATCACATCGACCCCCTGCAGCTGCCGTCCTGGTGGGTGGCTTGGTGGCTGAGAGCGCAGGCCCCGAGCAAGACAGACCTGGGTCTGGATCCTGGCCACGACACGGGCAGCTCTTTGACCTTGGGCTGGCTGGTATTCACTCTGAACTAATCACTCCCGTTTCTTCACCTGTGAAGTAGAAACTACTTCACAGAATCGTGAGAATTAAGTACAAGGGCATCTCCCAGTGCACAGCACGGTCTGGCACGAAGTGCCCTGACGTTGCTGCTGCTGCTGTTAGTATCGTGTGTTCACTGCTGTGTCCTCAGCGCCCAGAACAACGCTCAGGAACGTGTGAGTGATGGAGGAATCGGCTTGAATGGCATGTTTATAATTCTCCGGCTTCGTCAGGTGAAGCCCACTCCAGAAGCCGAAGGTGTCCTCAGCATTATTTCTCTCCCTGCCTGGCACCCAGAGGACACACTAAGCCTTCTTGGGGGAAGGAGACGGCTGCCTAGTACTTTGCTCTTCCCATAAGCAGATGAGAAGGTGTCCCCCTCCAAGTCATGATGGCTGGGGAAGGGGGGCGGGCACCAGGTGTCAGCAGCCCAGGTTCCGGTCCCCCCACCAGGTATGCTGTGTCTGAGATCGTTCTCAGCAGTAAAGTGGGGGTAGTGAGGCTTCCTGCCTTTCCGGGCTCAGCAGTTTAAAGGGTGAGGCAACAGTGGGTAGGCACGTTCTTTGTAAAATACCAAGTCATCCACGTGCTCAGAGGAGCAGAGTTCACAGGTGTCACTGTCATTGTTTCTATTCACTGACTTGTAACTAACAGTGTCTGCTTCCTTCTTGGCAGACGGAGTTAGAAGCCAAAAGTGAAACTAAGCAGGAGAATTACTGGCTGATTCAGTATCAGCGGCTCTTGAACCAGAAACCGTTGTCCTTGAAGCTGCAGGTGAGGATTGCTGGCGCCCACCCTGCAGGAGCCTCTGGCCTCAGCGGTGCCCGGCTTTCTGACCTGTCCAGTTTAATTCCATTCATATTTCTGGTGACTAAGTGTACCAGGTCCCCCGGGCAGGGACAGAAACGAGAGGGAGGAGCATTGGTTCTGGTGACTTTTCAGTCACTTCTGGGCGGAGCAGAGACCCACAGCCCACTGTGCGCTCACCAGCGCAGGGGCTGCGGATGGGACAGACGTGGTCCCCAGTCTCCCCCACCTCCCCCTCCCCCTCCCCTCTCCTCCCCCTCTCCTCCCTTTCCCCCTCTCCTCCCTTTCCCCCTCTCCTCCCTTTCCCCCTCTCACACACATGCACACACACACACCCTTTTTTTTTTTTTTTTAATAAAAATGGAGTCTTTCTTGGGAATTCCCTGGTGGTCCAGTGGTTGAGACTCTGCGCTTCCACTGCAGCAGGCACAGGTTCGATCCCTGGTCGGGGAGCTAAGATCCCACAAGCTACGTGGCACGACCAAAAAAACAAACAGGAGTCCTTCTATAAGGCTATTCTGGCAACTTCCTTTGTCCCCCCAACAGTAGTGACAGGCTGTTGTCCAGGCCCGTGTGCGTAGATCTCCTCGTTGTTCCCAGATGACTGCACAGCGTTTAGGATCTGCACGAGCCCTCACTTGTTTAAACAGTCCCCTCTTGATGGGTACTTAAGTTGCTTACGTTGTCAAGTTTACAGAGTGGCAGTGAACTAACTTCCTCGTGCGTCTATCTCTATGCCCTTAAATATCCATTTTTGTAGGAAAAGTTCCAAGAATACGTTTTACATATTACGTTGTATGTATTTGAACTCTTCGTTTGCTGTTGTGAGTAATGGCTTCTTGGTTTTTTTCCCCATCCGTGGTGCGCTTGGCTTCTCCCTTGGGTCTGTCCTGTAGGAAGAAGGCCTGGAGCGCCAGCTGGTGGCCCTCCTGGTGGAGCTGTCAGCCGAGCACTACCTTCCCATCTTCGCCCACCACCGCATCTCACTGGACATGCTGAGCCGGATGGGCCCTGGGGACCTGGCCAAGGTGGGCAGCAGCTGCGCCTCGGGGGGGTCGAGGGCGGCGGGCAGGGCCCTGGCCCGACCCAGCCAGGCCGCTTGCTCTGCACGCAGTTCTTGGTGAGGCCCGTGTCATCAGCTGTCAGAGCCAGAACGTGTGCCCCACCTGCCCCCGTCATGTGCCTGCAAAAGCCAGGGCTTATGGGTGCTGCTGACTCCAGGTTGGTGCCCCCCGTGCCCCCCACCCGTTCAGATTGGATCTTCACCGCGTAGGGCTGGACAGCCAGGACCTTGGAGCTCATCTGGACCAGCCCCCTCCCCACCCCATGGATTGTTATCCCAGCAGCAGCGCTGCCCGAGCCTGGTACACGCTGCACTAATTCATTTACCCTTCAAGAGAGACGAGTACCGATGCCGGCAAATACCTGACAGTGCCGGGCGCTGTTCTAAGCATGTGTTATATGTGGAGTCATTGAATCTTCCCAACAACCTGGGCGGGCACGCGCTGACACTGTCATCACCTTTCGGATAAGGAGGCTGAGACACGGCAAGGTAGCATTTGGCCCGAGGTCGCACAGCAGAGCCAGGACTCCAGCCCAGGCGGCTGGCCTGGTGCCGGGGTCCATGCTGTTGACCGCTCTGATGTACTGCCCGGCCCTCGGCAGACGCAGGCACCGGGGCTCAGAAGGGCGACACGACTGTCACCCACGCTCAGGAGCACTCTCTCTGGAGGCTGAGGGACTGTGATTCTGGCACGGCCCCTTCTCAGCAGCTCAGCCTCGGTGTGAACCACCTGACCGTGCAAACTGTGCCAGAGGGTCCTGACTTCCTGGTCGTCACGGGGGTGATGGGAGGTCATGCGGCTGAAGCTGTCAGCACAGCCCCTGTGCGGGCTTCGCACTTGCTAAACTGTCGCTGTTGCTGGTGTTGGTTTCCCTCTGGGCCTCAGTGTCTCCCTCTGCTGTACGGATTGTCGGGCCCTCGTGGGCCTCCACCTTTCCAGCTGAGGGTGCTGGAAGCCAGGGAGGAGGTAGTGGCTCTGACCGTGCTGCACAGTAGGTCCCTTGCCCAGCCCAGGCCATGACCTGCCCTCCTTGGTCCAAGCAGGTGGGCGTCTCGGAAGCCGGCCTGCGGCACCAGATCCTGCGCAGAGCCCAGGAGCTGCTGGACGCGACCAGGGCCCGGCCAGGTACCGATGCGGAGCCCTCGCCTGAGCAGAGCCCTTATGTGTGGGCTGCGGTTGGGGGCGTCCCCTGTTTACAGTTCAGGACGAGTCCTAAGGGCCACTTCTAACCCTGGCCAGTCCTTAAGCTTCCCTCCTAAAGGAACAATTTATAAATGGGAAAAGCAGGCTCCAAAAATGGAAAAAAAGAACTTTTCCTATAGCAGTTTCAGGCCTCTTCTGGCTTCCCTAAACCCACCCTACTAGACGTCGGGAACCACACACTCAGGATCCCTGGAGTAGAGGGAGAAATCAGCCAGACCCAGCGCCCACCCCGTGCCCAGCACTGCGCCCCAGGACAGGCCTGTGGTTTGGACGTAGAAAGGTGGTTGTGATGGTTGTGAAGGAGGTGCCCTGCCCTCATCCGGAGGCCCGGGAGAGGGCAGGTGCTGTGGCTGACCCAGGGGAAGGTCTCCTGTGTGCCGAGCAGGATGGGTATCGGGCATTTGACGACCACCATGTCAGGTCACCTTTGCTGCAGCCCCGTGAGGTGGGCACCATTGTTACCCGCGTCTGAGGGATGAGGAAACTGAGGCAGAGACAGGTTAACCCTAACCCTAACCCTTAGGGCTTCTTCCTGATTGTGGCCGCCCTGCAGGGAGGGGCTGGGCTGGAAGGCTCCTGAGCTCCAGAGGGCAGGAGAGCCTCAGGAGTTTCCCCAACAGTTCTCTTTCTGACCCCAGGACTCAATATGTGTTACGTTAAATATAGAAGTGCCCCTTACAGTGATGGTTTGGGGGGGATACCATGTACCCCTAGAGGGTCTAGAGTGGTTGCGATAGGCTTTTTAAAAAGAAAACTTCAGGTTTTTTAGAATTATAAAAAGTGCTACTTGTAATTTAACCCGTAGAATAAATGAAAAACATGAACTGAGGGGACGGGGATCAGGGATGGAGAGAGACTTGAGGGTGTCGCTGGTGCACGTGGTGTGATAATGAGAGAGACCGATTCTGATGTCCTCCTTCGCGGCGGTTGGGACCCAGGCAGGGGACATGCTGGGGCCTCTGCCAGGGGACAGGGGGAGCAGCCTTGAGAGCTGCTCACTCCTCTCCCTGCCCCTCTGGGCTACCTGCGCCTGGGCCCCTGGGTGGAGAATCTGCGAGCGAGGTCCGGTCCTAGCCAGGGCTGCTGCGGGGCAGCTCTACCACCAGATGGCCCTGTGGCCTCGGGCAAGTGGCTTCCCCCTCTGAGCCTCCTGATTTCTCATCTCTGACAGTGATGAGCCCTACTTGCAGGGTGGCTGTGAAGGATTCAGAGTGTGTTAGGGGCAAGAGGCCCCAATTAACCAGTGCCCCAGCTGTCCCGTCTTACAGGTGGGGGAATGAGGCTCAGCAAAGAGAAATAAGAGCGTGTGTAGGAAGGCAGGGTCCTGGTCGGATCCCATCCCGCTCCGGCTCCCTGCCACTTGGGGCAGGCGGGGCCAGGGGAGGCCCCAGGGATCGGGGTCAGGTGGGCGTGACCCAGCCTCAGCCTCTCTGTCCCCACAGAGCTGCCGAAACCACCCCAGGGCGAGGTCCTCCCCACGGCCCCTGAGGAGCTTCCCGAGGCAGTAAGACCATCGGCCCCCTGCGCGGAGCTGGAGGCCCAGATCTCAGAATGTGTTGTGTGCCTGGAACGGGAGGTAAGTCTGGGGCAACAGGCCCAGTGCCTGCCGTCCGGAGCCTCCCGGGCAAAAAACAGGAAATTAAAATGACCCATGATCCCATTACCCAAACATGAGTAATGCTATGTTTTCTGGGCCTTTTTCTTCAAGAGTTTTTTCTCCCACTTAGGAAGTTTCCCTTCGTATATGTATTAAGTCATTAAATATCAACAACACAATTTTCTCTGAAGAGACTTTAAAACCTGTTTTTAAAACTAACAAAATTGACGCCTATTATAAAAATTCAGCAATGTAGCACGTAAAATACTCCCCCTCCCCCGAGTGTGATCCTGCTTAGAAAGGTTGCCACGTGAGCAGTTTGATTACCCTATGGTTGGTTTGTTTGTTTTGCGGTACGCGGGCCTCTCACTGTTGCGGGGCACAGGCTCCAGACACGCAGGCCCAGCGGCCATGGCTCACGGGCCCAGCCGCTCCGCGGCATGTGGGATCCTCCCGGACCGGGGCATGAACCCGTGTCCCCTGCATCGGCAGGCGGACTCCCAACCACTGCGCCACCAGGGAAGCCCTTCCCTGTGGTTTTTGCTGGGCTCAGGGAATGCGGTGATACAGGGGGCCTTGGTGGTTATAAATTTAACCAAACCCCTGCTCTGGGCCCTGGAGGTGGCTTCCTAGCTCTTGTTATTACCAACAGTGCTATACTGAACAGCCTTGAACAGAATTTGGAGTACATCCTTGGTTCTTTACTTAGGATAACTTACTAAAAAGAGGAAATGCTAAGGCAAAGAATAGACACACTTCCATGGCTTTTAATCCATGATGCTGGGGTGGTTTTGAGACCGAGGGGGCCGGGCAAAGTGCACAGAAAATCCAAAAATTGGGAACAACGTGCACATCCAGCAGCTGGGCTGGTGAGATAGGGCGGGGCTGTGAAACGTGCGGCTGTTACAGAGAGGGGCAGACAGTGACCATACGGGCGGTGGAGCGTGACGACCGTGCTGTCAGATCTTTGGGGGCCGGGGGCCTCACTTGCCCCATCCCCGGGGAATCAGGCCGGGCTGGTTCCCAGACACTCCCGCACTCTCTCCTCAGGCCCAGATGATCTTCCTCAACTGCGGCCACGTCTGCTGCTGCCAGCAGTGCTGCCAGCCCCTGCGCACTTGCCCGCTGTGCCGCCAGGACATCGCCCAGCGCCTCCGCATCTACCACAGCCGCTGAGTGCCGGCCGCCGGCCCGGGCCTGACACCTCCAGCCCCACCTCTGCTACCTGCGGGCCCAGGGCTCCAGCTCCCGCTCTGTTCTCCATGGCCTAGTACGGGCCCCTCTGTCCTGGCCCAGGCGGAGACAGGAGTGTTCCTGACCAAGGACAGAGCCAGCGTGAATACCGTGGAGGAGAGAGGACCCCTCGCCGCACGAAGACAGGGTCTGGGGGGTGGGGTACCAGCATGCCTCCCTCTGAGCACAGGCCTGAGTGTCTCAGCTGCCTCTGGCAGTCACGCCCCCCCACCCAGGAGCCTCCTCAGGGGAGCCCGGGCAGTGCTGTCCCACTGGGCAGGGTGGTGGGGGTGCAGGAGGGCCCTGGCCGAGGGGAGAGGTGGGGAGGCCACCGTGTCCTTGGACTGACTGGCCAGAATGTGTTCAGGGCGGGCCTGGGGCCACAGCGACGTCGGCCCCTCCTCGCCTCCCTCTGCTCTCCCCGCACGCTGGGCCCCTCCTCTCCCAGCTCTGCACCTCCTCACCCCACGCAGCTCCAGGGCAGGTACTGAGCTTTGCAGACCCAAAGCAGTAACGTCAATAAACCCATCTCCAGCCGCCTCCTCCAGAGTCATCACTGGGTCCTGATGGAGCCCGGGGAGGGGGAGGGGGTCGCAGCTGAGTCAGAAGGGAAGCGGGGAGGTGCGGTGTTCCCAAAGGTGAAGTTACCCAAACCTCCCTTGTCGCAGGTGGAGAGACCAGGGCTCTACGAGAAGGGCTCAGAAAGTCTGCGGAGCTCGTGGTGCCGTGTGGGCTGTGCTACGTGCTCTGTTATCGTTACCCCAGACCAGGGGGCTGGATGTCCCGGGCCCTGCGACAGGAATGTGGTGGCGCTGGCTCTGGAGCCTAGAAGCATCTTGAGCCGTGCAGCCGCGCGGTTGTTCACCGCACAGTTGCAGGAGCCGTGCTCCTGGTACTTGCCGTAGAACTGCGCCTCTGTCGTGCGCCTTCTGGCAGACAGTTCTGAGCCAGGGGCAGCTTTTCCTTTGGGCTACAGGCAGGCCTGCTCGGGGCGCCTGGGCTCTGCCTCCAGCTAACTCTGACTCTGGCCAACCTTCCACATCCTAGTTCCCCATCTGGTCAGCAAGGGACACGATGGAGCCCTGACATAGGCCGGCGGCCACCAGGGAGCCCTGACTGCTCATCGCAGGCACAGCGTAAGAGCCAGCGGGATGCAGGGGACAGGCCCTCACTCTCCCTGCCTCGTTGTGACAGTCCTGCGGGCTGAAACAGGACGGATGAAGGGCCCATGTGGTGTGAGTCCTGCTTTCCAGGTACCCGGGGGACCTCTGATGGTTTCCCTCCCCACACACCCTGCTGGGCTCTGCTTAGCTAAGAGGGGAGACTGAGGCCTGAGGTGGGCAGGGCCACCTCGCAGAGCACAGTGTTTGGCAGGTCTCCTTGAACCCTCAATAGGCCCCCCCTTTTATAGACGAGGAGCCTGAGGTTGAGTTCAGTGCCTTGCCAAGGTCAACAGCAAGACTGCAGCTGAGCCCCTGCTTCCTCACCTCAGCCCTTAACAAGCCTTCAGCCACTGGCCACCGTCCCCCAAGGTGATGGGGGCCCCATAGCCTCAGCCCAGGTTCCCCGCCTTCCTGGACCTCAGTTTACACATCGGTGAAATGTGACAATGGTGCCCGCCGCCTGGAGCTGCCGTGAGGCTCCTAGTCTTGCAAGTAACGTGCACGGCCCACAGTAAGTACTGGCTGTGTGAGCAGGAGTCTTACACACTGGCATCACTGTTTGGATCTAGTGTGAGCCTCGGGCCCACCCGCCATGGGCACCCAGGGCCACGTGGCCATAAAGTAGCTGCCCTCCTGCCCTCAGCATTGCCCGAGACGGCCAGAGGTGCACCCTGCATGGATCTGGCTGAGGAAGCCGTCTGAGCTGCCAGCAGGCGGGCCACCTACCTGCTGTGTCCCTTCTCTCCAAGCCTCAGTTTTCTCCTCTGTAAAATGGGATAATAGAACTCTGGCCATGCACCTGTAAGCACTCGGTCAAGCGGCCATCCCAGAAAGTAGAGGTACACAGGTGCTCCTAGTCCGTCTCCAGCAAAGGTCTCACCCTGCTGGGACCACACATGGGCCACTGGCTTTAAATAAAGCATTTATTGATTAGTAGAAGCTTAAACAGTTTGCATAATATTTTCAATACAAGATTTGAGGATGATTTGGAAAACCACAAAAGAAGGCACCAAAGGAGAGCATCTTCAGACGGAACGTGTTGGTAAAAGAGGTTAGTGAGGCGTTGAGTTTAGGGCTTGGGGGACTGGGGGGGGCGGGGGTCCCTGAGCACCAGCCAGTGCTTCACGTCCTGTGGGTCCCAGGGCCCGGTCCAGGAAGGAGATGAGGGGATGGAGGAGGCAGGGCTGGGATGGCGTTGACGACCCTGAAGGACTCGGTTTCTGCCCTGCCCACCCTCCCCTCCCCTCCAAGCAGCAGGGGAGGGGGTGTGGGAAGGCCAGGAGGCCCCAGCCCCTGGGGATGGTCTCGGCTTGACCCTCACCCCAGGAAGGGGGATGGCTGGGCCCCCACGTGACTCAGGACATTTGAAGAGTCCTGGAGTTTTCAGGATGGGGTGACCGGAAACTCAGAGCACAAGGGGCCGAGCCCCAGCCTGACGCAAGAGCTCAGTGGTGCCCTGGGGTGCCTCGGCCCATCCTCCTGCCCCTCACGAGCCCCGCAGCTCCCTGGGAGGACAACGCGTACCTTGGAAGTGGCCTGCAGAGTCCACACCCACCCGGCCCTGCCACTGAGCAACATGCCACCACCCCCCACCCCCCGAGCCCAGCACGGGGACAGAGGAACTCCGGAGACTGGACCCCAGCAAGTGGAGGGGGAGGCAACGGCCCAGCTTCCAGCAGCCCTCCATCTGCCACCGCGCCCACCCTCCCAGCAGTACCTCTGCAGAGGTCACGCCCTCCTTCCCTCAGACACGCCCTCTCCCTTCTCTCCCCAGACCAGCCCATTCCAGGCCTTTCTTGTTCTCTCCTCAGGCCCACGGCCCCATCCCCCTCTGCGAGGCAGCTCTCCCCCAGCCTGAAGGCCCCTCCTTGCACATCCCCTCACCCGGGGCAGGACAGCAAGGCCAGTATCCTCTGGGGCCCAGCCGGGAGGAGGGAGGAGCGGGGCCAAGAGGGGCCTCAGCGCTCCGTCTTCCTGGTTCCAGCGAGCCCCTTGGTGCGAGCAGAGGATCCATGGGCTCTGTGTCACAGCAGATGCTACTCTTACCGCCCTCTTCCCAAGGAGGGCAAGACCCACGAGGGAAACGGGCCACAGAGGCGGGGCAGGGACGCAGGACTCAGGGACCCAGGGCCACCGCGTGCTCCCAGCCCCCTCTGCTGTGCTCTGCCCCCGGCAGGAGGAGGAAAGCCGAGATCATCCCACATAAGAGAAAACAGACCGACCAAGTGTGACCAAACCCAATAAAGTGACTCAGGTGGGCCCGTCTCCGCCCCAGAGGTGCCACACCAGCCTGGCCCCATCCCCACCTGGAAGGCATAGATCCAGCGCTCCCCGCCCAGAGCCGAGCCTTCCAGTGCCTCAGGGAGTGGCCCGTGCGCCATGTCCAACAGAAGCTCGGGGGCGACTGGCCTAGAACTCAGTCTGCACCCCTGCACCGTCCTCGGTGGTGGTATGGATTGGGGGGCGGCCGCCAGGGCCGGACACCTGCTCCCCGGTCTCCTGGTCACTGGGCTTGGGAGGCTCGAGGTCCGAGGCCTTTCCAGGCGGGAGCTGCCGGAGGGGTGAGGCAGGCGGTGAGGCGGCCTCAGGGGCTGCCCCGGGCTGGGTGCTCTCCTGGGCGGGGGCCCCATTGAGCAGGGGGCCGGCCAGCGGGGGGCTCTCAGCCTGCAGATCCCGGGCCAGCAGACCACGGAGCTCGGTGATGCTGTCTGCGGACGCAGGTGGTAGGGGCTCAGGGACAGCCTCGAAGGGCAGCCCCACCTCCTCGTCCTGGACCACGGACACCACCTGCTTGGCCCGCCGGCGCTTTTCCGAGAGGGTGGCTGCTTCCGGGATGCCAGGGCTGCCGGGGTCCCCACCACTGTCACTGCTGCCGCTGTACTCCTCGCCCCAGTCAATAGGCAAGCCCTCGGCCAGCAGGTGCAGGTTGGGGTCGCTGTTGTGCATGACCACGCTGTCCCGGTACAGGTTGTGCTTCCTCTGCACGGCGGCCTCCTTCACAGCTACAGGACAGGAGGGCGGTGTCGGGACATTTACCACGGCCACCAGCACACCCTACACTGCCCAGCTGTGACCTGCATCAGCCCCCAGAGGCCCCCCTCGGCCTAAGTGGGTGCTGTGACTGGGACGAGGCTTATTTCAGGCCTCAATGCCGGGAAGCAGGGGCTGTGACCCTACACCCTGTCACTCACCTGATGCTCCCCAAAATGTCAAGGACCCACAAACAAACTAAGGCACAGGGATGCGATGCTACCCTCCTGGGGCCACACCGCTAGTAGTGGGCTCACCCCAGCCCACGGCATAAGTCCTCTTTTCTTTGTAGCTTAGCTGACCCCACCAGGAAGACCTCTGGGCGGCCTCCTCCACCACCCTCCAGGCAGTAAGGGTCCCAACAGCAGCACCCGCCCCCCCCCAAGCTCTGCAGTCAGCCCCCGGGGGCCCGGGAGGCACGCACCCTGCAGGATGTCCTTCATGACCGTCTGCAACACCACCTCCTCATACGTGTTCTCCACCAGGATGAACCTGGCAAAGTCCTCGAATATCAGCTCCTGGAACCGGGACAGCTCCTGCCGGGTGGGGGTGGGGGTGGGGCAGAGAGAGGGGAGGCCAGGGCTGTTGGTCAGGCCCAGGACTGGGGCTAGTGGGGGAGGGGAGAGGGAAAGGGAGAGGGGAGGGCAGTGGGGAGAGGAGGGGACAGGAGGGGGACAGGAATGAGAGGAGAGGGGAGAGGAGAAATGGGGAGGGGAGTGAGGAGGGGAGAGGGGTGGGGAGGGGTGGGGAGGGGTGGGGGGAGAGGAGGGAGGACAGTGGGGGGAGTGAGGGGAGGGGAGGGAGAGGAGTGGGGAGGGGGAGCGCAGTGGGGGGAGAGGGCGCACTCACCGACTTGCAGGTGGGCGCCAGCTTCTTGAGCAGGAACGGGATGGTGATCTGCAGCAGAGCCTCCCGGAAAAAGCGCTTCCGCACGGTGCTGCTGTCATAGTCGTATTTCTGCCAGGAAGAGCGGCCAGGGCACAGGAGGCTCTGGGTCAGGGAGCTCCACCGGTCCCTGGTCTGACCTGAGCCCCAGCGCCCCCCTGGGTGGAGGGGTGGGGCCTGGCCGGGCGGCTCACCTTCAGCACCCGCTCCAGGATGCGCTGGATGGACTTGCACAGCTCCTCCTTGGTGGGCCCCTTCCCCAGCTCCTGGTGCAGGAGGGTCTCGAAGGTGTACACGGCGTTGTCCATTTGCTGCCGGCGGGGCACACCACGGGGCACGTGAAAGGGGTGCCCGCCGGGAGGAGGGGGCGCCTGTGTGCTCAGCTGCCCGTTCACTCACTCACTCCTGTACTGTCTAGTGTGCTGGCTCAGGGCCGGGCACCGGGGCCGCTCCCTGCCTCA